GACAGTTTCCATTGCAAATTGCAGATTATCTGAGACTAGTTCTAGATTGGCATGTGTGCTGAACAAAAGCAGGCTTTCTACTTTACCAAAGTTTGGCACTGTCCTATGCTAGACAGTAAGGGCTCTTACGCTAATTTTTGACATTTTTCAGTGTTGAAGACAGGTTCAGATGTAAGTAGGAAAAAATTTCCTTTCTGGCAGACATATCAAACCCATCCTTTGAGCAGAGCTGTAGCACTAAGCCTTGTTTTGTTTTGGTATGGTAATACCAAAGGGCAGAGGTGGCAGTGCATGGTTACCAGTCATGTCAGCTTGTCTGTTTTGCAAGGGAGATTTCTTTCTCTCTGCATAATAACTTCTTGCAGGCATGAAGGCCTAAGGGAATATGTTGTTCCCCACTGCTGCCTTCACTCTCCACATACTATTTGCTGTACCCATCTGCCTGCATCTTTAATATCAGGCGCATTAAAGAAGTCCCATATCAATTGCATGAAGAGAAGTGGGATGGGGTGCCCTGAGCTTCTGGAGCCTGTGCAGGCCAACAATGGGCCCAGTGTTCTTTCAGCTGATGATTAAATACTTGGCTCATAAATACCGATATTATGTAATTCCTAAATCAAGTCAGCAAATTGTGACCATATGTGAGACTCTCTGTTTGAGAAGATTTGAGTCTTCCAAAGTCAGTCTGAAGAACAAAATAGGCTTCACATCAAGAGTTGTTGAGAATGGCAGTAATGACTTAATCCTCTGACATCATGCCCTAGTTTGAGATAAACAGTGTGATCGGAAGGCCTGTGAGTAGGCCCAGGACTGTTGTGTTTGCTTGAGCTGTGGCAGTCAGCTCTGCTACATCTTTGGAGATCATTTCTTTACTGGTGTGATTGGCAATGATTGCAGGTGGGGACCAGCAGGATGTCTTCTTAATGAGAAGCCTAATTTTAACAGGTGCTTAGTACATCCAGTCATCCACATCTTAGTGGATTGTGGGGGCTTTTCAGCATGTGTAGTATGCTCCTGACACTGTCTGTCCCTGCCTCATCTGTGTGTAAAACCATACCAAGACTATGGCATTTTGAGGGAACCTGAACCTTGTTTCCATATCCTCTGCCCTAAAGGAGGCCTGACAAATATTTTTATGTTCCTGCCTGAGGTGGCGGGAGATTTAGTCCATGCTAAGAGCTCTGAAGAGTTAGAGATGTAATTATGGGTACCAAAGGCTCTTAATTTTCTGGGTAAATTGAAATCTGGCTCCCACTGACACATTACCTACTGTTGACAGTAGACACAGGGAATGCAGGGAGTATCTTGCTTCTTGACAGTTACATCCCTTCCAAACGGTCTGGTAGTGTGTTGCAATCTGTGAAGAATACAGTTGGTGCTGGATATCTCTGTATGTTCTGCAAGACTGCAGCAGTTTGTGACATGCTTCATTTAATTTGCAGGCAGTTTTCTTGTTGCCTCCTTGCTAAGAGTTGATTAATTTGAATACCCAGTAGACCCTCTATCATAGGGCAGGATTCCAGCCACCTAAGAAGTTGACTTCAAAGGTATTTTGCGTCTCTGAACACTTTGATCCCATGACCTCATATCCAAGTTAGCCATAAAGCATTTGCTTTTGTCTGTATTGACAAACCCTAGAAACTCTTAATTCATTTACATGTTTTTCTGTGCCTATCTCACAGTATCTAGAGAAGTCTACCTAAAATCAACTATGAGGAAGAGGCTCTGCTTGCTGTTTACAAGTGCAGCTGATGTGATACATCCATACCTGTTGTTCAGAGAGGCTACTAATAGGCAGTGCCTCATGGTGTATAGAAATAACCTTGTGTGTATTGAGGCATACAAGGTCTTTCTCCAGCAGTCATGTGTGCTCCTGAGAGAGCTGTCAGTCTTTTGTCCACAGGCTTCCCTTGTTCTTGTAATATCAACATTTACTGGTTTCCTATCATTACCAGTTTAAACAACCCTTGGCATTTTATCATCTGGATGTGGTCAGAAACAACCAATATGGAACACCTTGTAAAAATAATGGGGTGTGAGAACAGGTAGACAGCTGCAACTGTCTTTCATCATTCCTTGTAGGAAATCACATTGTCATGAGCTTCCATTTTAGTTTCTATGTGGGGTGTGGAAGGTCCTGTGGTTTATTTTCCTCTCTTAGAGGAGGGAGGTAGAGCTTTCTGCTCGACAGAAGGGCCTGAAAGCAGTGCAGCCTAGCGATCAGAGAAGTCATACAACTTGGATTCTTCTAACTCTAGTGTATGGCCTTGGGCAAATCATTTAGTGTTGTGAGGTCCAGCTTCCCACCTCCTCAGGAGAGCCAGAGGCTTTGTTCATCTGAGGTGCAGCTTCCACAGTGATCCTGCAATATCCAGTTCTTAGCAAGGCGAAGAAGACCTTTCCCTTCTGTTTTGTTTTTAGTATGTTGAAGAACACCTTCAGAATCATCATGGTGATGAATTTGCACTGTCCTGGTTGTTATTTGGGCTCTTTGAGCAGCATTGGCAGTAATGCAGAGCAGGACACTGGACTGATGGAGCTGTGCTGAATTCAGGCGATTGAGCAAGTCCCTTTTTGCCATGCTCAGCAATAACAGATGGGTTCAGTGGTGCCTGTGTTATGATCCTCTGCTGAACCAAATGCAAGGAAATTTCTGCTACAAGCCTAGCACAGATGTAAATGTCAGCAGCCTTTGGAGTTTCCTGCCCATCTTTCTCACCAGTCTCTACAGCAAGGAGGTGCTCATCTGTTGAGGGTGGCCAGCACTTCTTGATGCTGAACTGCAGTGATTATTTTCTTTTGTTGGCTCTGGAAACAATTATATTTTCCACCGAAGTGCTGCAGTGGGGAAAAGCACTGACTGTTTTGTGGTAGTCAGGAAAATCACACATATCACTGTAACTAGAATAAGCATGTCAACAGCTTCAGTCAACTGCCCAGTATCTTCATCTGTAGCAAGCAAATTTATAGTTTCAGTCTGAACTTCTTCTTGTCCACAAGAGGAGTGAAGCCAGAGAGAACAGAATGAACTCTGTGAGGGAGCATGCACACTATGTCTCTGACAGGCTGCTCTGAACTAACCTGGAGCAAAGCCTTCTTCTGTGGACACAATGAGGTCATTAAGTGGCTAAAGATGCCTTTTGAAACAGATGTATGTCTGTCACCTACCAAAAAGAGCCACAAGTTCTAAAGAAAGACTTATACCTTATGGATATTTCTCTATGAAAATATTGTCTTTCAGTATAACCGGGCTTTTGGAATGCAACAGATCACCAACATTTTTTTAACCCTCATCATCCCTAGTTTTAAATAAAAGCTTTTGGGTGATAGACTTGGGAAAACTGGAAGGAAGATATCTGTGGACAGATATTTTTTTTTTTCTTCTTTGCCCTTTCTGCTTCTTTTGCTGGAAGTCTTCTTTTACAAGAGTTTTATGAATGAGTGAAGGAAAGAGAAAGCAAATGAGACATACCAAGAAATGAGAGTGTTCAGAGTAAACCTTTTTATTAATTTAAAACAACTCAAAAAGAACATCAATAACAAATTTTTCCCCAGTTTTAAAAAAATTAAATAGATCAATTGCCTGTCACTGTTGCTCACATCAGTGAATTTCCACATTGGAGGGACAGGCTAAGACTAAGGAGGGATGGGCAGCTGCTGGGAGAATGGGCCGCAGAGTCATCACCTCAGATGGCCCCTTTGCCTTGCTCCAGTGATTAACAGGAGGTGGCTCCCTGCAGCAATTACTGTGTTTTAAGCAGCTTGGTCCAGCTTGGAACAATTACCCGGCTGCTTGGGCAGCAAGAGCACAAGCTTTGGGCTTTGGTGTCTTCAGGATATTAGCTGAAACCAATGTGATCCAAGACAACTGGAAGCCAACGCTGTTGAACATCATCTCTTACTTGGTTCTGGGAGACTGGAGGTGCTGGTGGTTTCTGAGATCAGTTAGCAGTTCTTGCAAAAGAAGGACCAGGCTGTCACATTTGCTTTGCTGCTTTTAACAGTAAAAGGTCCCCCTACAGCGATCTTTATGCATAGTTAGCCTTTTAAGTCTTCCTGCCAAAGATTCAGCCAGTACAGACAGTGACTCTAATGCAGCAGGTTTGTTTGATATCAGGGCTAATTAGCAATTATCCAAATCTTGGAGCAAACTCTTTCAGACCTGTTTTTTTCCTTTTTCTTTTTTTTCCCCCCCAAACAGGCTAGGCATAAAATTCCATCTGCCTTATTTGCAAATGCAATTGCTTTAATTATGCATCCAAATTGGGAAAGTGTATGCTCAAAAAGATAGACAGCTAATTCTATGCATGTAAGACGATAATGCATATACAAATTAGCTGTATCCTCCAAAGCCTGCACCATCTCAAAACCTTCCCGCTCTGAGGATAACTGTTTTAAAATAATACATCCTTTCCTCTTGCAAGTTTACAGCAGCTAAGACACCCTGTACACCAGTTCTGTTGCTGTTACTCATGCAGTTTTGGTTTACACAAAGGGCTAATTTTCTTTGCACCTCCTGCCAACAAGGACCAGAACACAAGGGTTAGATGCTGTAAATGTGCCTGCTGCTACATTCAATAAATTTTCTGCCCCAAGAGATGGCAAGTGCAGGGAAGTGTAATAGAATAGGGAGACATGAGGGAAGGAGGACACAGGAATGTGGATTGTGGTAACTGATGGTGAAGACAGTGGATGGAAGGCTGGAGAATGGGCCAGAGAGGTCAGCCAGGTGCATCAGCAGCCTCTGCTCTGCATTGCCAGTGTTCTTTCTGCCCTGACCTCATCTATTGGCATTGTAGAAGCAAACCCTGGTACTGGTTTTCCTTGCACCCCGTGTAGATCACCCTGTGATCATCCTGAGACTTTGTTCCTAAAGCTCCAGCCTGGTGGTGGTTCTCCTGCCTGCCTGGATGTGGTGCTGCCAAACTGGCACTGATCTTCCCAGATGGTTGTGCCAGGCTTTGCTTTGTCCTCATGATTTCTTGCTTTTCTTTTTCCAGATGAGCAACAAAAGGTCGAACAGTTTCCGCCAAGCCATCCTTCAGGGGAACAGGAGGCTGTGCAGCAAGGCACTGCTGGAGGAAACTGGGCTGAGCCTTTCGCAGAGGCTGATCCGGCATGTTGCATATGAAACCCTGCCACGAGAGATAGACCGCAAGTGGTACTACGACAGCTATACCTGCTGCCCTCCACCCTGGTTCATGATTACCATCACTATTGTAGAGGCAAGTACCTTAAGGCCCTCTCTCTGGGAACCCACCCTACACTGCCAAAGTCTTTGCTGGGACATGAACAAGGGTTATAGTGGGACCCAGACAAGGACAAGCGTAAAGCTGATGGTCATTTTGGCCTACCTGTATGTGTGTGTATAAGTGGAGATGGTGATCCTATCTGTCTCTAAGTGTGGTTATTAGCCTTTGAAATAATTTGTATGTGAAACCACAGAATTTGGGAAACCATAGCAAAACCTTTTGAGGAGTGAAAATATTCACAGTTTTAGGGAGAATCATTATTCAAATGATGGAATTAGGAGAAAAATTCCTATATGGTTATCTCTGTTCTGTGGAGAGAAAAAAGAGGGAAGAGAAACTGGGTTAAATATTATGACCTGCTCATCTGTTGCCCAAATGAGATCTGTGCACAGTTGCTGAGTAATGTGCTCAAATAAGCACAGAGGAGGATATAATATGGCACTGATCAGTAGGGTGCTGAGTTCCTCTGACTCAGTGGCTGGTGTGTTACAGAAAGATGCATATAGAGTTATACCAATGTATTGCAGGTTCTTCAAAACAGTGAACTTTCATGCTGTGTGAAGCTGTCAAATGGGAGAAAAATTATTGTACATTTGACTTTTTTCTCCGTGATTTTAAGCTACAAAGTGCTTTTCAGCAAGAGAAGGCATTTCCTAACCAAGAAATCTCTCTGCTCTTTTAGGTTGCCTTTTTTCTTTACAATGGAGTGGTATTAGACAGATTTGTGCTGCAAGTCAGCCACCCTTTATACCTGAAGAATGCATTACTTTACCATCCTCAGCTCCGTGCTCAGGCTTGGAGGTACCTAACCTACATATTCATGCATGCAGGGTGAGTACTTACAAACTGCAGAGATTCCCCACAGTTCAGGTTCCCCAGAGAGAGGGAGGAGGAGGAAGTGACAAAATCAGCTTGGAAATAATTTTTTAAAAATCAATTCTAAATTGCATATAAAAATCTGATGATGTTGTAGAGTGCTGGGCGATGAGGGGCAAACCTTCGCAGCTCTCTGAAGGGAGGAGGCAACATAAGGAACTTAGCAGATGCTGCTCTTCTCCCCAGCAGTGCTGGGACCACACCTTCCTCTTATTGTGCACTTCCCCCTGTGTGCTTCCTAAAACTCACCAGGTTGAAGCCCAGTGTCCCTTTAGAGGAGCTGAGCAAGTGGTAGAACAAGTCTGCAAAGACGTGGACTGGTATTTAAAAACTGCATGGTGTATTCTTGCTAGACTTCCTAGTTGAGGTTGGAAAAGTCAATTAAATTCCCTGTGCCTATGGTATGTCATCACTTAGTAATGTTGTCCCTTCTGTAGGGACTGAAATAATGCCTAGAAGCCTGAGTCAAGATTGAACTCCCATTTTGTACACACTGTACAAACACCAGTGTTCCTGAAGAGTTGACAATCTCGACTGACCAGATGGACAGAGAATGGTCCATCTAACGCAAAATGCAAAATGAAGGTGCACAGTAAAATGAATCCTCCTTCATCCCATGGGAGGTATGTAGCAGACTTGGGAAGACAATACAAGGCGTGGGGATTCTAACTCTGTGCTTCTCAACTGTGCTAGTCCTCCTAAGATTCAAAGACACTTAATTGTGTGATGTTTGTGATGCCATCATGATGAGTGAGTGTCACAGGAAAGTTCATCCCTGTACAAAACACTCTACCCCCTCCAAGTAGTTTCTCAGATCATTATCTTCACACATTCCTGGGAGATAGTTGCAATTTTCTTTAATTCTGTCATTGAAAAATCACAGCAACAAGCTTTTTAGCAGTAGTTTATAGTTTGAAACTGGATAAAGCCCCTTTGTTCTTAAATAGAAAGCCTGTAGCCCCATCAGTCAATGTTCTCCTCTGAAAGGCCAGAACCATCAAGCTGATCTTTTCCTTTTTCCATGTCTCTGATGGAATACATGCTGATGTCTCTGCTCTGCCATGGAATAACTTGGTGCGTAATTGCCCTTGAGCATAAGATGTGCCCCAGATCTCTGGATAAAAATCATAGCACCCAAGGGGAGAGTAGGAAAAAAAATATAGATTAAACTTCTGAACATGGCAACATTTGTACTCTGCATGCTAAGTCTCTCCAAGAAGTCCATTGTATATAGCTTTCCATCTACAAGTGGAGACTATTTGGCTTAGATGTGAGACTAGTTATGTAAAATGAGAACTGGAAATTTCCATCACTGGCCATGTGGGGAAAACTGGGCTTGTAAAAGGAAGCAACACTTGATTTTAACTAATATTAGCTAATTTGTACCTGGGATTTCTGGTGGTGGTGGTGGTGTGCTGCTAGATCACGTAACCACAGATTGCTTTGGGATACGTTTGAAGAGAAGCACCTGCACAAGAACAATTTTTGCAGCATTTACATATCTTCCTGTATCACCTGTGGCATGCTTTCATAACCTGTGCAAGGTCGCCCTTTCCTGTAGCAGGTGGTACTCTCACATTCTTCATGCTTACTGACTGAAAAATATCTTGGGTTTATTTCACATCTGTGGCTGGCTCAGAGCTGAGCAGTGGGGAAGGTGGCATGCAGGAGACTCGTTGTTTTTGTGATGGATTCCAAGTTCTTAAGCAACATAGCCTTCAAAACAATGGACAGTCCTGCTGGAACAATAAACCCCATGATTTATCTGGAGTTAGGCTAAATGTTCATTTATTGCTAACTTCTGTGTGTTAAGCTCCTTTCATATCAGGAGAACAGATAAATCTTGCAAAGGTAATAACGTTTGTTAGTGGAAGCCCATCATTCTCCTCTCATTTTCAAATGAGAGGCTAACACAATGCCATGGGATCTATTGTTATCCTGCTTCCAGCTGAGACTTTAAAATGGTAATGTGGACTGCTCCTTAATTTAGTGCCCTCGGTCTGTTTTTTTTGAAGAGCAAGTGACAGACGGAAAGTGTCCGAGAAGACAGCAGTTGCTAAGGCTTGACTGGCTGTGCCTCTAGAAAGATTCCAAAAATGCACAGGCTGTGTGTTGATCCTGATGGAGGGGGCTTTGTCAAGGGCTGAAAAGGCAAGCAAAGTTGTAAATTCTGTGCTTCTGCTTTCATGGAAAGCAGACGTTGATTATCTGGGGCCCATGTATTTGTAACACTGCCATAACTAATGACTTGCATTGATGCTGAGTCCCATTTGTTTGGTCCCAGGGAAGGAGAAAGTCTTTAATATATCAATGAAATTGTCATTTCAAGAATGACGCATTCAGCACTGGCAAAGGCTAATTATATTTTATGGGTGCTTATTGACTGTCAAGCTTTCAAAGCTCTTAGCATGATGGGGAGGAGAAGTGAATGGGAGTGCTACTGGAAAGTCTTTTAAGAACAGCTGTGAATCAGATCAGTCACTTCAGAGTCTAGGATAAACTTGCTGAGCTCTTACAAAAGCTTAATTTGAGAAATAAGACCCAGTGCTTTGTGTGAAAATGTCAGGTGCCACCTCATGACATTGACGGTGTGCCAGCCAAAGCTTCTTCCCTCCCCTCTGTAAAAGTGCATTTGGAAGCTTTGACTCTTTTCTGTGATCTCAGTTTGACCTTTGCTGGTTGTTCCTAATTTAGTTCCTAAATTCTGTGAACATGCAGGATCAGAAAGAGTGCCAGAATGTTCCCATGCCTAGTGGCTTCAGAAGTCTTGAGCAAGGTAATAAAAAAACTCAGTTACATGCAGCAGTTTCCCATGATGACAAATTGCAGTGCTGAGTGTCATGCAGGAGAGAAATTCATCCTTGGAGAGAAATTCACTGGAAACAAACCTATTAAGATATCCGGAAAGGACTGTTTCCTACAGTATCATTTCTAGCAGTTTTTTCCGGTCCAACTTTAAATTCTTGTTTATGAGACCATTCTGTCATTACTGCATCTCACCATCAGCATTTTTGTCTGATGTATATGGGAAATTGCTATGGTAACATGAAGAAAGACCAAAACAGTGAAAATGTATATAACTTCAATGAAAGATTGGTAGTGGCTGTCTGTGAGCAATCCTTTTCTTAGATAAAATAGGATGTAGGTTTTCAGTATGTTATTTACTTTGCTCTCTTTCTCCCAAAAGATGCTAGCCTTCTGTGTTAAGGGTACCGCTGTGTCATTTAGGTCCATCTGCTTTGTAAGCAGACTTAAGCACTCTTCATACAGAAACCAGTATAACCCTGGGTCCAGTGTGATATGGCCATTCAGCAAGGTCACAGCCCTGTGAGCCCATGGTAAATCTCAAACACTAGCACAGTGTTGAGAAGGAGCCTGTTCAGGGGCCTGGTGCTGTTGTTACCTCACTGGAAGATCCTGAAGATGTCAAAGGCACAGGTAAATATTTGGGTAGGGCTTTGAAAAGTAGCAAGACAGTTTTGTTAACTACTATTGATAGAGCAACAAAGAACTTGCTTTGAAACCATTGATTCAGCACAGGAGAAAACTGTGCATTGGAGTCTTTCCCAAATATACACGTTATCTTTAGGCTGCAAGTGGTCCTACACGATGTACACAGCAAGGTTTTGTACAGGACTAGTCTCAGCCCACCTTCTCCCACTGTGTTCACCAGGAGTTTTGCTATTGACTGTAATGGGAACAAGGGTAGGTGAACAGAGAGCTTCAGTGAATATACCTTGTGTCTCGCTGGGCACCTAACCAGCAATAAAAATGCCATCTGCATCCTGTTCTGACCATGATCACATTGAGGTAGGCACAGCAGAAAAGGGTGAGGGTCAGACACCACCAGCACAGCAGCATTATGTGTCACAAGGAAATGGCAACTGTCTTGGGACTGCAAGGCTTACCTTGCTCTTGACTTCATCTCTGCTCCGCATCATGGCACTGTAATATGTGCAGGGAAAGGCTGCATCATTAGGAGGGGACAAGAGAGAAGCAGGTCAAGTTTTTGGCTTCTGTTCCAGGCTCTGCTGCCATCTTGCTGCTTTTTTGGACAAGCCATTTAACTTCAAAAAAAAAAAAAAACAAAAAAAACAGAAAAGAAAAAAGAAGTCTCGTTAAGAACCAAACATGCTATGAGGTCTTTGTCTGGAAGGACCTAGGTCAATATGAAAAAGATAATGAGCAGCAAGGAGGGAAGAAACATTGCAGCTCTCAGTCTGATTTTTTTCAGGAACCATTATTCTTCTCAGTGTTACAACCTACTTTAATGAAGCGAGTGCTATTTGATTTGCTTTCCAAGATATCTCTGTCTCAAGAGTAGAGAAGGGAGACAAAGAGTTAGAAAAGAGGACAACTGTTGTTTTTCCTTGCTGCAGGATAGAACACCTTGGACTCAATGTTGTCCTTCAGCTCTTGGTTGGGGTTCCCCTGGAAATGGTGCATGGAGCTGCAAGGATCAGTTTTGTGTACATTGCTGGAGTTGTGGCAGGTAGGTGACACCTCTGGATGCCCCAGATGGAGAAACATCTGAAAATGATCTGTGCTGACTTTTGTGTAGGAAAATGTTTTGTGACATTTGAGTGTAGGAGAAGAGCACTCACTGATCTTCTGTGCGCTGCAATTCTTTTGGAGACTGGAAGTGGGAAATATGCTACAATTTGACATCTGTTTCTAACTAGCCATAGACTCTATGTTTAGGGGACCTGCTAAAAAAAGCACCAACAACCTGTTACTTTAAAATAGCTTTGATTTAGATGGTCTTCCCAAATGTGGAGTTCAAGCTGTTCCTTTCCTCTTGTGTCCCATAGAGGCCTAGAAGAAAGGGGGCATCACAGGCATCCCTGCATGAAGAGTCTTTTTTTTTTTTTTTTTTTTTTTCCCAGGTCCTATGCTAGTTCTTCCTCCATTTGTCCTGTGCTGTCTGCTTTCTGCACCCTGAGTAAGCAAGAAGTATTTGGTTGTAGGTTGTGAGCAGTGCACAGGAATCTGGAAATTCATTTACTCATGAAGCCATGGACTTTGACTGATTTTTAGTTTGTGCTATACAGCTTTTATTTATGTTTGGCATTTTCAGCAGTTTGGAGGTGATGGAAGTTAGCTGACAATAGATCAACATCTAATTAAAACAAGGGCAGAGTATGAGAACAACCAAGGGCTTCACAGTAGAACTCAGACAACAATTCACTGCCTTAGTTCAAGATTTACGGTGATTTTTTTTTCCAGCTACATTATTTTATTTTTTCTATAATGAGCAGATAAAGCCTTTATAAAATGTATTGCATTGGATACTAATAAACCCTACATTCTAATAGAGACGGTGGAAAGAATAATTGGACTAGGACACAGAACTAGGCATGGTACAAACACCATGCTATTTAATGTAGAGAAAGGAGTTTGCAGACCAGCTCCACTGTCCCTCACCTGTTATTTTAATAAGCACTAAAGTGGTCCCCAATCTGCAACTTTCCAGACATAAGCTTTTCTACATAGATCCATCTACCGAACCCTGGGGCTTAATTTATACATGTGTAAATACACATCACACATCTGTGCCAGGTAAGCAAAGCAAGCAAGCATTGAATCTGCTGCAATTGAGCCCTGGTGAGCACTGCTGGTTGCTGGCTGCCTGTCAGATTTCTGTGGCCATGGACTTGCTGTCAGGGTCCACAAAGCCATAAGTGGGTTTTACATGGACATTGGGCTGGGCCAAGTGCCCAGAGCTCTGGAGGCTTGTAGCCAGCACCAGGGTGAGTCTCACTAGCCCACCTAGCATTATTGGTTCATTTCTGCTACACAAATGATCCTGGGTGTTTTTTCAGACAAGCTGCCACATCCTCATAGACTTGCCTTTCACACCTTATGACCTATAAACTGTGGAAGAAAGTGTCAGATGGAAAGGGATAACTTCACTTCTTAGTACAGGATGGAAATACAAATGTGGCTGGACAGTTCCACACAGAAAAGCATTGCATGATACCTGTACCTGTTTGAATTGTTAGCCAATTATTAAACATGCTTTATTCTTTGACATGTGCCAGGAGAAAGAGGCATACTTATGCTGAGGACCTGGCAATAGAGAAATAACACAGCTCCTAAATAATTAGGAATAAACAGTAAAATGTAGACATGGACCACAATGGCCACTCCTTACTTTTATAGTTTTTTCTCATTTGTCTGGCTTTACTAAGAAGACATGTTGAAGCTGAGATCAAGAGAGTCAGTGCAGTGTCTGAAGTCTTAACTGCAAGTTCTCTTTATTCCTTCCTTAAGTTCTCATTAACTTTTTCCTTAATGGTGGTGCTTAAGAGCTGAGAAGTCTCAGGGCCATACAGTGAAGGAGGGAGCTATCATCAGAGTTGGCTGGTAGAACCTCAGCACTTTCTTGACCCAGAATCAGCTGAGCAATTATCAAAAAAGTTTGTTAGATTCTGTACTACCAAGGCCTCTCTCAAGATTTGCCATTGTGTCTTTTTCCCATTCCTTCTCATCACAGGGATCTTCATTATCCCTGCCTTGTGACACCAAGTCTGCCTTTGTCTCTCTATCTCTTAAATTACCCTTAAAGTTTGCAATGAAAGGAGCTTTGAGCAGATCCAAGCCTCCAACTGGGATAAGGAGAAGCAATGTCTATATTTGGATGTACTGTTACTAGTGATGCCTTTATGTGATTGACCTGTCATTTTGCTATCTTGTGTTTACTGCCTCCATCCAGGTTATTTTTAGTTAGTTTTACTCTGAAGTTTTATAAGTAACAGGCTGTGCTTTGATCAGAGGCCTGTGCTAAGTTCAAGTCCTCAGTTCCTTCTCACTGTGCAAATATTTATCTTGCCAGCATGAGAGATACTTCTATTTTATCTTCAGGTGAGGAACCAGACACAGACGTTTGTCTGTCTCCTGCTTCCTTGTTAGTTTGTTCAGGGTGTAAGTGCCTTTTTGCAGTATAGATTTGAAAATATGTTGTTGCCTTGCTTGGCTGCTTTTAAAGTAGGTGCAGAAGAATCAATCAGTCACTGTCTTAGCAGTTCTACAGGACTGAGTTAGCTTCCACAAATCAATTGATTTTCCCCCCACCCCCTTCTCTTTGTCTGTATAGTACTAACCTGCAACAATTATCACAAAACAGGCAGTAGCAGGGATGTAGGGTAGGAGAGTTTATTTGGCTGGCAATTGTCACAAACCCCTGTTCTTTCTCCCAGGGTCCCTGGCAGTGTCAGTAGCTGATATGACTGCGCCTGTGGTGGGCTCCTCTGGAGGCGTGTATGCTCTTGTCTCAGCTCACTTAGCCAACATAGTCATGGTGAGTACCAGAATGACTGTCTAACCTCTTCAGGAGTGAGCCAGGTCTGGTGGCCTGAAGAGTTTGGAAGAAGGGCCTGACCCAGCCGTTGGTCGCTCGGAGCTTGCCCCGGTTAAAAGTCTTGTCTCAGTGTTGTGGTCCTGGAATGGAAATGTTATGCTGTGGCTGGTGGCTTGCTTCCCTGATGACTGGCAGCTTGCCAGGAGAAGCCAAAGATGCTTGTAATCCAAAGTTTAGCAGTGTACTCAGGGCTGTCAGCTCTCTTTGCAAGGGCTGACAAATGTTTGGAAAAGAGTGAGCTGACTGGCTCTGCAGAAGTTGCAGAGCTGTTTCTGTCTGCATATGCCGTGTAATGTTAGCAAGTACCTAAGGAAATTTAGTATTTGGTGAATTTGTGTGCAGAATATCCCTTATCTCCATTTGTAAAACTCAGACTGAAGCTGAAGACTGGGTATACTAGTGATGCATCTTTTTGCTGTTTCACCTAATGAAATACTTTACAAAGGTCAGTAAATACAAGCATCATCATTCCTCTAAGGCCTGGAAACTGGAGCTCATCCAAGGTCCTCAGCTAGGTGGTGACAAAGCCCAGCACATCTGCCTGTGTGACTCCTAAGCTGATCACTAGGCAAAAGGCTTTGCTGAGAGAGGATTTGTGCGGTGATACAGGGTTGCATGTCTGTCCTGTACAAGCAAAGTCAGAGCAGAATAACCATAAAAATGACAATAATGCATGCACCCCTGGGTCTGAGTGGGAAGATAATGCAGGTTGTCTGCAGTAGAGACAGAAATTCTGTTATATAGGTTCTGGAAAACATGTGTGTGTGGTGGTACTTGTGTCAAGCCTAAAAGAAAACCTTGTATTTAGTGCTTGTATGTAGTGAAGTTAGCAGGCTTTGGCTGCAACCCACAGTGGTGCTGCTCCAGGCAGCCTTTGCAGCAGCTGGGAGCAGAGGAAGCTAGTAGTTTCCTAAGCTGGACAGGTATCCTTTTGCTGTCTTCCAGCTTTTTGGATCATGAATGAGCTGGGGACTGTTGTCTGAATTAGGACAGTCGAGTGACTGAGCAAAGAGATAGGGAGTGGAGGGAGGGGGGCTACCCCTATACCACAGGGTTTCTACTGGGGAAATGCCTCCTTATACACAGTGATTTTCAGTACAGTTTGTATTCCCTGCCATTGGGCCAACAGAAGCAGGACAGAGTTTCCCTTGTCAAACAGGGTGGTCATGCAGACACAAGGTTTCTTCATATTGAGATTCACAGGGTCAGAGGGAGACATTGAAATAAATTTTGGTTTGCTTTAGAGGAAGAGGCTCTGCCAGAGGTGTGTGGAAAGTCTTACCAGTTACCTACCTACCTTCCCAGACTACTTTAAACATTGCAAATTGACCTCTCATTTCACCACTCATTGGCCTTCTCCAAATCTGTTTAGCAATTGGTACCTTAACATCTATATTTCTACATTATCCACTGCTTCTCTTCTTGTCTGAAATTACTTTTACTGCCTTTCCCATTCTGGTGGAGTGTTTTTGCTTTTCTTTCCCCCTCTACTCTCTCTCTGCTCACTTAATATCTAGATGTGATGTTCCCATACACTAAAAGACATGCTAGCCGTTTGCTGCTAAAATGCAGAGCCTTGCACAGGTGCTTTGAGCGTGTTAGGAAGAGGAGGGAACATTGCAGGGACAGTCTCTTGAATCTTCTGTTCCCTTGTGCCTTCTGGTAACCAAAGGAAATTAAAACATTCCTGCTTGTAAAAATCAATATTCTTGAAATTAAATACATTAACCAACAGGGGGAAGCAATAAAGCATGTCACCCTAAGGAAAAGAGTGAGGGGAGGAATTCAAAACAGCTATGTGGAAATGAAAACTGAAAGAAGTAGCATAGCATTAATCAGCATGAGTTCAGTGCCTTCTTGACTGGGTTAGGTGTCTCTGTGAAGAGTGAAAATAAGTTACTTGTAGAGATTGCATTTTTGCAGTCATGGAAGTGATTTACAGACAGATCCTACATAAAACTTGAGTATATGTAGTATGTATTGCAGAATATTTCTTCAGCAGGCAGAAAAGTCACTGGATGCTGTTAAAGTTAGGCTGAAGAGTTTACAAGCATTTTTTTTTTTATTCTTTCAGTGTGAGGAATAGGGAGTTTTTCACAAGAAACATGGCTAGCTTGGTATTTCCTACTTTTTCAACGGGCAAAATTTCACTTATTCAGTAGTAATCATAGCCTTGTCATACATCTGAGTTCTGCAGAACATGATCTCTTCTTCTGCTTGGAAATTTTGTGCAAGTGGAAAAGGAGGAATTTAAACATTTGTCCCAGGATTTCTATCATTCAGAGATTATTTCCACTATATTGATTAATGACCAAGCCTGAAGACAGAGGAGGCCAAATCCAGGCTTTCTTATGGGACTGTTTCCTTGGTATGCTTTTATTGAGGTCTTTATTATTTGTTTGTGCTCTGCCAAAGATCTGAGTTGCAGAATTTAAGGGAGACTGAGGTACAGGCAGTAGCACTGAAAAGCATGTAGGGCCTGTATGCACTGAGAAATTCCCTGACAAGTGACAGTATGGGGTCTCCAAGTGAATCATGATGAACTGTGTGATGTTAACGAGAATGATGCTTGTGTTAAATGCTAGGTACTACTTAACATAATTTTATTTGATGTGGCCTAATACAACAGGGTTTTGCAGGGTAAGTAAATTCAAATATTTTCAGAAGTCAGAATTTAAGGTGAAACATCATACTAACGTGTTAAAAATTGGTTTGCCTGAAGAACTGAAAATGGCAAGGCCAGTCAAGGACCGTGCCAGGCAAAGAAGCTGTGGACTGGCCGTAATTTGGACATGTCTGCAATATATCTTTTATGGTTATGTCCTCTGGGATTGAGAGATCTGTGTTTGGTGTGGTGAGTGGAAAGTTCACAGCCAGGTGGCAAAAGCAATGAAAGGGGTTTCTTTCAAGGGATGGTCATCCTTGATGCCCTTCCGTTGTAGATCTGAATGTAAAAACCCTCCAGGTTTGCATGCAGCATCACTCTGTTTTCCTTGTCTCTCTTCCAGAACTGGTCAGGAATGAAGTGCCAATTCAAACTGCTGCGCATGGCTGTTGCCTTGATCTGTAGTAAGTATCATGCAATACTTGGCACACACGCGGTCTCGTTTTATTTGTCCTTGTCATAAGAGTTCATGCTGATTCAGACAGTTTTGACTTTGCAGCAGTTTTGGTAGGAACTTGCAGCTGGACCTTCTGGCATCCGATACCACATCACTCTCAAATGCAGATTTTGGCTTACAACACAAGTATTTGTAAATGAGGATTTGTTCTTAGCCAGCATCTGTAGCTTGTGGCATTTGTGAAGATCTGGGACTTAAACATCTCATCTTTGAATTCGCAAACAAACAATGCTTTCATAATGATAATGCTTACGTTTCCTAGAGCACTTCCTCTCTGGCATGGCGGTAGCATTATACACATTACACATTCATGAGTTATCTTCCAGCCATATCCCTAGCGTGGCATGATAAGGGAAACTAAGCCGCGTATTTATCACAGACAATTGTCTTCAAAGTCTAATGCATTTTTTTTATGGTTTCAGTATAAATTTTGGAAGGCAAATATTCCTCCACTTATCTACACTCCCACAAACCCAGACTGCTTACCAACCAGTGGGGAGACCTCATGCCTGTGTGCCACAACCCCTACATAGCCGTGGCTTCCCAGCTTCCCTATGATCACCATACAAGGCAGCTTCTCCCTCTCCATCTCTCCAGGGATGCAGTGCTGCCTGCAAGATGGACTTAAGAAGGGATAGACCTAGACAATGAATTCCTTTTCCTTCTTTGTTCCAGTGAGCTTTGAATTTGGAAGAGCTGTGTGGCTGCGATTCCATCCCTCTGCTTACCCACCATGCCCACACCCCAGCTTCATGGCTCACCTGGGAGGGGTGATGGTTGGAATCACCCTTGGTGTCATCATTCTGAGGAACTATGAGCAGAGACTCCAAGATCAGACATTATGGTGGATCTTCCTTTCTATTTATGTAATTTTCGTCTTGTTTGCCATCTTCTGGAACATTTTTGCCTACAGCCTGTTGGATCTAAAGCTACCTCCCCCTCCTTGAAAACATGGGACAGAAAACTCAAGAGTGGAAGTCATCTGTCAGCTATGTTAAATGAATTAAGATAGAGGATCTATTTTTGTATTTAACTTAGGGGAGGATGATTCTTTTGAACACAACCGTATGCTGGAGGAGATGCTTAAAGATCTCACAAAAGAATGGACTGATCAGTTTGTTCACAAATATAGCAGGCACTGTAATACTGGTTGGCCTGCACCCTGCAGTTTCTCCACTGCCAGGGCTCCCACGGGGCAGCTTGTACCTGGGCACTTACCACTTGGTTTGTTAGCACACATCAATATTTTGTATGAGATATTTGTATTTTCCAGGTCAGTGCTGGAATTATGGCCAGTTGTTGAGTGAATCTCCTCAATGTTACTGAACACTAAAAGGGAAAAAGAGCAAACATTTACTAATTAGAGATTTGCATGGTTCTCACAAGGCAGCTTGGGTTTGGTTTCTATGGACACATATGACTGTTCAGCCATACCAGTGCCACTGTCTAATTACTTGAATGGTTCATAAGATATTTTAGCCTACAGTGAAACCTGTCTTGAGCACCTTTAAAAGGAATCAGCAGAGCTTGATCACCCAAAGTGATGGAGTCTGATCTTAAACTACAGGTCAAATGAAATTGCACTATAAAACTTGGGAACTCGTAGAGTGTTGTGGGCACCCAGCCAGAGGTGACTTACTGTGCATGTTTCACTTGATTTTAATTAATTATTTTTTTCCCTAGTATGCTAGAGGTTGTGGCTGGGGTTTCTTTTTCGAGGGATGGAGAAAAGGAGGGCAAAAGTTCAATTGGGTTTTTATCAACTGACAATCAGGTGCTGTTTTCTTCTCACTTTATTTCTGGTCACGTTGATCTAACATCTGGCCTGCAGTATGCTCCTAGCAAGGATCAAGACTCTTCCAGCAGGTTCTTACTAGAAGAGGGGACCAGGATCACCTATAGCAGCTCAGGGTGGGAACTATCTAGTCTTTACAGCCATACAGTCCATTTGGGGCCAAATCTGTCCACTGAGGTCAGTGGAGTTAAATCAGCACTGTTTCCCCACTGAAGTGGGAAGGGTGTTACTATGTTACAGTGACCATTGTGAAACTGATAAAGATGGTTTTAAAGTGACTGCTAAATTTTGAGGATGCCTCTTTCTGAGGCAATGGATGTTCAGGGGCTCCAAGCAACAGTTAGTTGCAATGATGCCTTTTTCTTTAACATTGGTCAAGCCCAGGTTTTAGCAGTCTGTAACGGGTGTGTAGTACAGTTGTCTGCACAGACCTGGGGACCAGACTGGAACATCTGTAGCACAAGCAGTGCTTACAGGTATACTTCTCTGCAAGGTGCTCATGTTATGCTTCTCACTTGAGAACTGCCAAACTACAGTCCAGGAATGTGGATGCCCTCCTTTTCTCTCCCCTTTACCCACCTGATTTGATGGCCTGGATAAAGCAGCCGTAAGAGTCTCTCTAGACTAGCTCCTTTCTTCCTGTTTTCTATTTTCAAACTGGTGCCCAGGCACTAGCCACCAGAGCCTTCTGCAGCACATCTCACAGGCACTGTAGCAGTTAGGTTTGCTCTGTAGCAAAATGTCTCTGTATTGTGGGCTTTATTCTCTCAGCTGTGTAATCAGTGCTGACAGATACCACAAGCTGGTAGGAGCCTGTCTTTCTAGAGGGCACATTCACAAGTGCTTATCAGCTGCCCCCTTCTTTGCCTCTTATGGGAAAAATCTCTCTGGTCTGGAAGGGTAAAGTTCAGCTCCCACAGTATGCATTAGTAAAACTCCTGTTGCCTCTGGGAAAGGGAGGGGGAAGAAAATAAGCATTTCTGCAACCTGGAATAAGCCTTATCTGCAAAAGAAACAATTTTTGCCACCTTTGTGCACAGGAATGGGATCTCTGAGAGTGACTGCACCTTTGTTGTTCTGCATGTTGCTCATGGGCCCTCAAATCAAGGAACAAGAGGAAGTGATAAGGGTCAGAGCTCTGTTCATTTTGGAGAAGGGGATTGGTACCTCGTGCCATTTTACCTGTGCAGTTTGGGTCCAGATCAAAGCAGTCATGAGAGTTTTCCTTTCAGGTGCTAGCCCAGTGGGTTTTGTAGCAGTGGAGATCATCTCCCTGGAGAGCAGCAGGTAAGCAGGAGAGCGGGGAGCTAGGAGAATACAGACAGAAGCATGGTTAACGTGCAAGAAGGACATTCCTTTCCTCACCTGTTGCTAAGCCTTTCTGATTACAGATGCCTTTAAAACGGAGGTGAGCAGAGAATGAGAGTTCCCCTGGAAGTTCTAGGAAAACTTTGAAAATTGTGGTAGAAAAGTTCAACTGCAACAAAACCAGAATTATTTTGCCTATAATTTACTAAGTACAGTATGCACCAATTGACTTTTATTTTTGGTTTCTCAACTGAAAGCTACTTAATGACCATCAGTTTCTCCTCAAGAAAGGTTTCTGTGCTCTGGGGTAGAGCAGCAAGCTACAAGTTCAATGACCACCAGTTTCTTCATCAGCCTGACCCTGACCAACGCATCTTTGCCTCTGCTCAGGAGTAGGGGGGAGCTGAATAGAGCAATTCTGGCACCATTCTTTGGTCCTTTATCCATAGATGAACACAGTTTACATGAACTGGTTGAAAACAGCTCAGAGATTGGTCGTATGAGTTGTTCTTCTAAACTGTTGTTCATCTTTCTGACTTCCATTCTGTGTCCCCACACTCTGTCTGAGCAAGTCTACAAGCAATCCCAGGGACAAAGGCCAGACTTTAAAGCAGTATTAGATTTATTGTGGGTGAAGAAATGAAACCCTCTTACATTCCTGCTCATCAGAGCTGAAATCTCTCCCCATACACAGAGCAAGTTGTACACAGAGCTTGTTGTCTGCTAAGAATCTATCAGCTTATGGAATCAGGAGCAGTGCAAAGTGCTTAAGCTTTTGTCATTTTTTTTTTTTTAATCACTAAAATTACACTGTGAAAACTTGTTATGTTTTTACAGAGTAACAGGAAATCTAATTATGTTATTTTATAATGCACCCAGGAGTGCCACAGTGCTGCAGCACCAGAGAGCTAATAGCAACCAGACTTTTCTTTTACCTCCAGATGTCCTTGAAGCTGCTGGCTTCTGTCAGAGACATAATATTCTCCACCCTGCTCAATTGTGGTTCCAACTTGTCAGTCAGCAACATGTTCCTGAAGGAGCCGTCCACTGAGGGACTGGTTTTGGTGATTGTTTTGGTTTTATTTCATCTGCTGCCAGGATTTTACGTCAGTTGGATAAAATGTGAATCTATTGAACCTTACGGATGTGCAGTGCTAGAGCAAAAGGCAAGGACTGTTTTCCATGTACAGATTTGAACTGTGCACATTAGAGGAAGTTATTTTATGTCCTGGAGTGAGGACACAACACCTGGGGGAATAAAAGAAAAAAAAAAAAAAGCTGTTTCTGTGCTGGACTTCCCATTTAGTAAGTATGTTGCAACACTGGTCCAGTGAGGATGGGTGCAGGGAGTAGTAATGCAGACTGGGAGTGCCTGGGTGCTGGCTGAGAGCTCCTTCAGGGACATCTGCCGGCAGCACGGCGACAGCGTGGCCAGGGCTGAGCCTCTTGCTGGTCCCTCGTCCCGAGAAGGGGCACAGGCAGCGGTGGGGAGGAAGGAGGAGGAGGAGAACCAGGTAGATCAAAGTCCACAGGACTTGCAAATTGCACCTTTTATTCCTAGATGTTTGGAGGCAGGTAGAGATTAATTTTGCACACATTGGTAATAATATAGGAAGGAGGAGCGGGGTGTAATGGAGTGATGGGAAAGGAGGTTTCCAGAAACAATCTCAGTGAGGTGTAGAGCAGTCATAAAAATGCTGATGAATTTACTTTTGCTGAGTTCTGAAGACATCTCATGTCACTTTTTCCCCATCAGTCAATGAGGAATCTTAGCACTTACATGGCATATTGTGATTCTTCACTACTTGCTCCTTTAGCAGTAAGAAGTATTTTATCAGGGGGGAGGCCAGAGAAATTATTGTTGTCTGAGGCTGCTGGACTAGAAATAAAACTCAGGGATTCTGTGTCCCAAGACCTTTCTCCTTCTGATGGATTGTACTGCCCATATGTTTTAAATCAGATTAGATCGATTTGAACTGGGGTATGAAGGATGGAATCTGACACATTTAGAGCAGGTACTAAAATAACAGCTATCTGCTGACCTCACAAGACAGCTGCTGTTTTGTGCCAATATTTAGTCTCACAGGATCGTGGGTAGGACTTTCACACATACTTCAGTGAGTAAAGAGCTCAAAGTCTATCTGTTTACATAGATTCAAGCTCAGCTCAATTGCTTTGGAAACCCCATCCACTGGCTTTACCCAAAGTGTAACTGGAGAGTATGGATGTAGTTCAACACCACCAACCAACTGGGATCTAGAGAACAAAGGCAAACATCTCTGGGGTTTTAGCCTCTTTGAATATTGCTGCTGTTGTGTTTCTTTTATAGTAATGACTGCTCTACAGTGCTCTGTGATACGACTCAGAATTTTCTTCTGCAATCATTGATGCTGAGTGCTGGTTATAAAGGAAAACAGTGCATTTTGCAGCTCTGTAAAGGAAGAATCACACGTAAGACAGAAACCAAGCTTGCTTAAAGGTAAATGTATTTTTAATATCGCCATTAATCATTGGCTTTTAATTGGAAAAAGCTTTCTAATGAGGTATTTCTGAAATGCCAGTAGTACGACAGAAAGTTTATGTTTCAGCGTACTTTACAACACAGAGCACAAAATATTCTCTAGGCCTGATTTAAGTAGCAAAAGTACCTTAGTTTCCAGTGAGATTAATAGATACATCAGTCACTATCTCCTGACTCCCCCACAGTATCTGTTTAGTTTGCAAATAAAGCTAGATTTATGCAGTTTTTCTTTTGCTTACACTACTAATGCTAACAACACATCCAACTGTTAAAACACAAAGCACTAAATAATGTAATTTTCTGCCTTAAAATACTGAACAAATGATACTTTCCCGTTAAGGGCTAGTAAAACAAAATTATATTTGCAAGGTAAGACACTATGGTATGTTTCCAAATATTTTTGTATTGTGTACATTCTGTATATTTTTGTTGTAACAATATTATTTGAGCACAGAATCCATTAAATTTTTTTTGTTGGTGGCTTTTTTTGTTTTCTTTTCCTTTTTTCTTTAAATAAAACTGAGCTGTTCTATATCACATCCAAAAAACAAGCAAGAAAAAACTTTAAAAGACAGTTTTGTAAGTTTGTCTACAGTTAACACAGTATTTAACAAGAGAGCAATCAGTTTTGAGCTCTGCAATGTAATCTTTTAATGATGACATTGATAACTAATTTTTATGTCTCTCTAAAAGTGTCTGCCTAAAAGATAAAGGGGAGACTGAACTGCTGCTTTATTTTTCCATGAGATATAACAAGGATACAGAACCAGATTGGGACTTGTACTGAAATTCAGGTCTTGTCCCACCGTTTGACAACTGATACTTTAGTACAGTAGTTGTTATAGGTAGATTAAGGCAAATCACATCCAAATATGGATTAATGAATCTTTATTAAGGTAAGAGAGCAAATGCAGCGCTGGGGTGGCCGAGGAGTCACAGCTCCGTCGAGGCTCACCAAATTGTTTAAGTTTCAAACCCCCTTTTATCCACCCAGCTGCCAGTTTCAACACCTTCAGCACGCCTCCTGGCTTCTACAGTCTTATCTTCTTTCTTCAGTCCTGTGGTCACGTACACATTGTCCTTCAAGTCTGGGCCAATTTGCAGCTCCTTTGTCTTTTATGGCTCAGTGGTTTCAGTTCCTCTCTTATCTCAAGGACAAGGGATACCAGGGATGGCCCATTCTGTTCTTTCTCAATCCATTGCAAAGGAGTTACCACCCTTTGATATGGATCATCTGGTGAGCATCCCAAGAGGGGGGGCTGTTGGGTTGGTGTTTCCTCAGATCAATTCCCCCCTTTTCCCAGTAGTAAAGTCTTTTACTTTTCTTAAAATTTGGATCATTGTACTAATAATAGCTTTAGCCTAGGAAGTAATTGTTTAATTACTTTTAGCGAAAGCAAAATTCTTCTATTACTTATCACAGTAGTGACCTCAGAACTGTGGGAAAGTTGAAGACCAAGTACGTTAGACTTTAATTTTTTTCATTGGGGTGGAGGGTTGTTCTTTTTTAACATCAGTCTCTACTGAATGTCTTAAAATCTCAGAGCCAAGATATTCTTGTCTCTTGAATCAATAGTGGGAACAACATACTCAGGAAGTTCTGCAGCAAACCTCTAACTGATTTAGTTAGAGATAACTAAAATAAAAATCCTTCCACCAATGTGGGAGAGGGAGGCTTATTTTGAAAAATATTTTGTGTTTTTGTTGGGAAACATTGGGTTAAAGTGTAGCTTAAAGAAATGAAGATGCGACTAGCAGCAGTTCCTGTCAGATTTGTTATGCCGAAGGGGAGGCAGATCACTGCTACTGAATGTGGGACTCAGCTGTTGCTGTTAGTTTTCTGCACTTAGCTGAGCTTTCCAAGGCACTTAAATCTCTTCATTCATTAGCTGAGGACTTTAAGCAAGAAGGAAAGGTGGGTTGTGTCAGTTAATACAGGAAGTGTTACTGTCTACTAGCACCATAGGGTTTTCTTGCTGGCTAAAATAATTTTCTAAAGGCAAGCTGAAGGACAAGAGTATTGCCAATTCCAGTGTAACTGTTGGAGAGAAGGAGCCAAAAGTTGGCAGCCTTGATACTTGTAAAACTCATTAGCATTTTATTCCCATAGCTCCAGTCATACTCCGTATAGTAAACATGGCTCGTAAGTGTTGGAAAGAGAAATACTAATTGGTTTATATGCTGCTTCTCAGGGGGGTAGAGAGGGGGGGAACCAAAAAACCAAACCAGACCCTGATCTTTCAAACTGCAAGAGCTCTGTAGCAGTTAAATCTAAATTAGCATTCTTAACATAGGCCTGGAGGATTTTGTGTTTGGGTGTTGGGGGGTGCAGGGGAGTATGTTTGTTGGTTCATTTGTTTGTTGGTTTGTTTTTGGTTTTTTTTGTTTGTTTTTTTTTTTTTTTTCCAAATGGATTTAAATCTGACCCTTAAAACTACAGTGAAAGTCTTTCAGGTTTGCAAATTAAGTGCACATCGCAGCATCTTCTGACCTTTTGTGTGCTTGATCCTGAGCTATGAATAGCTGATTGCTGGGAGGAAGTTAAGTGTGTAATACTCTCCAGACATTCACGCAGCTAAACCAGCTGCTTCTGCATTATTTATTGTGCTTTTGTTTAATTTCCTTTAGTTTTGTTTTTTAAAATAGAGCTTATAATGGAAGATACCAGTAAAACCTGTAAACTCATGAACTACCAGGGTGTGTCTCAATGTGTGTGTACTTGTGAGCATCATGAGTTTAGTAGTTATCTAACTGAATGGCAAAGTCACTGCAAAGCTGGGAGAAGCAAGATGATGTTAAAACAAAGGCTGCAGAAAGCAAGAACTTGTATTTTTCATAATGTCAGCCACTTTCAGTGCTGGGAAAATTCAGAAAAAGGAACTTGCAAGAGAAAAAGCTCTGACTGAAGCTGTCCACATGTAACAGTATAAATTCAGTGGTACTGATACTGAACAATGCATTACCTTGGAGAGAAGCCTCAACAAGACTAAGCAAGGTTTTACAGTTAAGGTTAAAATATCTGGATTTCAAAGTGATTTATGATAATTTACCTAGCAAACAAACCAAAAATCTTACTTAAATGAGTGTAATACAGAACACAGGATAGTATGATAATTTAGTTATAAAGGACCTCAGATCTCTAGTCTAACCTCCTGCTCAAGCCAGGGTCAGCTAAGAGGTAATGCAGGTTGTTCAGCACTTCAGCCAGTTTATTCTTGAAAACTTAGAGGGATGAAGACTGGGAAAAGCAATTATGGTTGCACTGCAGGAAAAGTTATCATTATCAGCACCTCTGTGCCTGGGACTGACCTACTCTTTGCAAATATCAAGGCCAGCGCATAGAACGCTTGGGCCCGCAAGGCTCCGGCCCAAGTCTCCAGTAGCGCAACGATTCCTTACATTCCTACCAGATCACAGCTACTCGTTCTTCTTTCTTTTTGAGCACTGAGCTCTTCCCTGCCTCCTTATCAGGCGAAATACCAATCGATCAGTGCTCCAGTATTGTTAAAAACGTATAAAAGCAACAAAGGGTGACATGTTTTATGTATAATATATTATATTCTGAAGGAAAACGTTGTTACTTCTCAGAGCTCCTGCAAAATGAGAGAATAAGGGGTTTGGTTTCTTTCCAACTGTTTTTATTTTCTTCTCTGACCTGCCCATCTATGTTACGTGTCACCTTGGCTGCCACTATGACACTTGCAGATGCCTACCCATTACACCAGCAGCTCCTCCGTACTCTGTGAATAAAGGGTTTTAAACAAGAGACATCAAGGACAACACTCATTTGTAATTTAATATAAGCACACTATTAAGGATTTGAATGTGTTTTATTGTAAACCTCATTAAAGGTTCAACACAATAGTGCCACAGGAAAGCAGTCAACTTCTGTCATCACAGTATAGAGTTCTGGCAGAACAACCAGACAAACTTCACTGCATTTGTAAGACTGTTACAGTTACTGCTTCAGGGAGAGTTGTTCAACTGCCCTAAGTTAGGCATTCCAACACCCTCTGCTGCAAAGGAAAGCAACAGGGAGTTTTGCATGTGTCAGGTTTGCAGGTCACGCAGAAGCTTTGTGAGTTTTGATTCCATCTGTAGCCAAAGATTTTCTTCGAGTATTCTGCTGTCTAAATGTCCTATCATGTGGGTAAGAATTCATTGCTGAAATACAATGAAATGTTTTACAGCCTGAATAATTAACTTGTGAACTTAGTTTACTTCAATTTCTTAAGAAGTTTCTATTAATTTGAAGTTAATATTTAATCTGTAAAATTTTCAGGTTTAATTCTTCGTGGTTGAAAAACATATTATTATTTACACTTATGCAAAATGGGTACTAAGAACATACAAAGAAGGTCTTGATCACAATGCAAACTAATGAAGAATGGGACTGATCAAATAGCCTGGGAATTTAACATGTCTGTCCAGTCTATGTATGTATACATACGAAGACAGTTCTGTTTCGTACCAATTAAAAACTTGTTTATCTAGTAACAGCAGAACAAACTGCCAATTTGAAAGTAGAATGGAAATGAGCTACAGACTTGTTACTTATGTTCTCTTATAAAAACAAATATGATTATTTACTATGATTTATCCAGATGTTTGTGCTTTATCTATTAAAAGTAACCAGATCTTAATGATTAGACATGATCATTTTAAAGATATTTAAAATATTTAAAACACTGAAATGCTTGCTAGGTAAGGGATTTGGGGTTTTTTCATGCAATGACTGTAAAACCTAAATGTCATGATTTCCTCAGAAAAGGAGTAAATCATTTAGGGAATCTGGTAAGCACTGAAAACTATGCAGGAGTTTGTATGATCTGATATTTACACATTAAAAATAGCTCATACTGCTTTCTCTAAAAAGGAGAAAAGGCAGATGAAACTGCAACTTAGGTAATACTTTTAAATATAAATTAAAAATCCTGCAATAGTGAAACTAAGCTGCACAGAAGAAATTAATGATTTATACAATACCCTCAAACAAGTACAGATTAATTAAGATCATTTTAAGCCACTGATGTTTCTCGCATGAATTCCTCAAGGACAGTCACTACATTTCTGGCTTCTGGCATTTCTGCATGTTCTACTTTGACGATCTTCAAAAGGATGTCTCCACTGCCGCAGTTCTTTAGAAACATGTAACACTTGAACAAGGCATAGTGGTTCATTTCAGCCTGGCGGATAAACCTCTTCAGGTTGTTAATGTCTTGTATAGCCTGGGGAAACAGTAACAGAGCTTTTTCTTATAATTCTATGTGGGAAAAAAACATACTATCATGTGGAAAAGTGAAGGAAGAGAATGGCAAGAGAAACATTTGCAATAGGAATTTTATAGTACTACAAGATTAATGTAAGAATTGAGTACTGTCTTTGATGCGCATTACCACTGTTACTGTAATGAGGAAAAATGTGTGGACACCACAACTTGGTATGTCCAAACTTGTAGCAATATGACAGATCACCTAGGAAGCGTTAACTACTCAATCCATGTTACCCAATTACTCAATATTGTGTGTGCACAGCTCAAATTAACAGTATTTTAAGAAAAAAAAAAAAAAGTGAGTTTTATTTTAAATATGAGAAAATCCCTTTGGAGTACTTGCTGAAGAAACTTTCACACTACTTTACATTCTGGTCTTGTCAACTACAGTAAGCCACTCCTCAACTTAAAACTTTAGTTAATCAGTTAATGACATAGAGACATCATAAAGAACTTAAAACTTTTCTGCAAAAAGATGTATTAGCTCCCTCAATCATCCTGCTGTCTTCTCCAAGTTTTTAACATATATGAAGAGGTACCTTCAATTTAAAGTTTTCCAGAATTTGTCGGAAGAGAAACGGATTTCCACCTTCAGCACCATTCAAGAAAGCATGCATCCAGTCCTCACAGAATCTGTTGCTTCCTGTTACGTGTTCAGGAACAGAGAAGAAATGGGAAAAAATAAATGAGGTTAACATATATAGCTACATTCACCTGGTTTAACCACTCTCACATAGCAACTGATAATAGTGTACCTGGGCCAGGAAATAAGTCTTAAGAAAAAACATACATGTGGAAAAGAAAAGCAGACATAGCTACAGTGATTACGTGAAAATCTGTTTTGATTGTTCAATCCTCTTTCACAACATTTGTCAAAAATACAAAAGGAAAAAAAAAGTTTTGCCACTTCCCTGAAGTGTACAAGTTCTAATCTCACGGTCCACAAACTAAATTCACTGTGGATTTTTTTATCAACCATTTTCAAACCAAAGTTCCAGTGTATCTGGTAAAACAAACTACTCTGCTACTTCATGGAAAAACAGGTGTTGTAGTTTCCAGTCAGAATCCAGACTTTCTGGGCATGAACATACGAGCTTCTGAATATCTTCAACTCAGCAGCTGAGGGATACAAGTGGGTAACATGAAGTATTCACAGTTGTAATCTCACCTGCATTATGTAACTGAGGCTGAGGTCCACTACAGTCTATAATCATTGACTTGTGCTGTTCCTCAGTCATGGCAATACACAAGGAGGTCATGGTGCCTTCCTGAACCAGTCCTTGGAGGCTGGCAGCTGCCAGAAACCTGACATGAAAAACTCCTGTGAACTGCTTACTTCTTTACAATTCTTGAACAGCAAAAAGAAGAGGCTGTCCTACACAAAAGCCAAATTACTCAGAGGTTCCTTGGTCTCAAAGTATCTTTACCTGCTAATGTCTTTTTCCGTTCTTTCATCTGCGTTTTTTACTTCCACAGAAGTATAACTCAAAGCCTTAAAACAAACAAACAAACACAAATTTAAAAAGCTAGATGCAACTTTGATAATGCTTCTGTTGCTATATTGCGGTTACTAGCAATAAATACATAATGTGGTACTTTAAAAATTGCTCTTTTCAGAGAGAGTAGAAGCTAAGAGAATACTCCATATTATAGAATTGCAGCTGCTTTTGCATTCAGAAAAAATACAGCAGTTATACCCTATGAGCTATTCTATTCTATCCAAAGCCTCCTCAAACTCAGGGGCCAGAGCTAGGATTAATTTATTTTTTGTTTCTAGTGAATTATACGAGGCACATACGCAATATAACATCCCTTTTGGTTCAGAGGAAATATAGCAGGGACAGCTTTCTCATGCTGTTTCTAATTTTCTAATTTTTATTTCAACTTGGATGCTACTATGTAATCTAAAATGAGTTAACTATAAAAATTGATAGAAGAAATTGCTATATGCTTACTTAGCAATAAACCAGGAGGAAAGTACTTGCCCTTAATTAAAAAACAAACAAACAAACAAAAGTTGTTCCTCATTTACTCCTGGCTGGGAAAGCAAATGCAAAAAAACATTTTAAACATGTTGGAGTCCCTGAGCTTCCTTCTGAACTTTCTTTTTGTTATGCAGTTTGAAATACACTTACAGCATGTAGCAAAAAGGCGAGTTTCTCCTGGAAGAGCTGTACTACTCTCTGGATAGGGCATACAGTATTCTCAAACCAGCTTCCCAAGTAGGGTTTAACACAGGTCTCCAAGGTTTTTTGCTGTAACAAGTTAAAACATTAAAACTTTAACTACAAATTAGATTTCTACACAAATAGAAGTCTATTAATCTATTCAACCCAAGATACTTGGAGGCCAGAACCTTCTTATTTTCAAACCACAGTAAACTAAAATAAAGCTACACTTTTATTAGCAAGGAAAGGTTTTCCATTTTAAGAAATAGACAGAACTGTAATATTATGGTATATACCGAGCAATGACCATGCAACAGCAGATGGGATGAGAAAGAGATTTAAAATGCATACTTTCCACTAGAAAAATTGTGACAAGGAAACCACTAAAAATCCTGCCTTTACATTCAGAAGTGGTAAGAATCCAGGTGGACATTGATAACTTTTCTGTAGACCATTACTTTTATTAGTCATTCTCTCTGAATTTAACTGCAAGTAACGTTTAAGAGATTTATGACTAGCACAAAAAATTCCACACATACCCCCCCACTTCTTTTTTCCATTTGACTTGACTAGTTGATAGCACTTCAGACATTCACTGTCACTACAGTGAATCAAGTATCTCTCACAGTGTTTTATACTGGTACTTAGAACACCTATTTTGTCTCTATAGACTAGATCTTCCAGATTGTCTTAATAATCAATTTGCATAAATAATAATTTTCACACTTAAAAATCAAAAGTTAGGCCTTACCTCCAAATCAAGGTTTATCTTCAGACTTTGGATGTATTTGTCCAGCTCAAGTCTGAAAGTATCTTCTTAAGGAAAATACGATGTATCAGTTAAGGCCTGCAATTTTCTCCTTTCAGTATATGGCTGTTATTAACATTTTCAGTTACTGGAAGGTGTGCACAAACAGGCTGATTTCAAGTAGGAAACAGACAAATGAGAACATAATTTTTACATCATCTCCCTCTCCACACAGATAAAGAAAATTAAAGGCAAGGATATAGTTCCAGACCTTTCTCTGAGCCACCTAAGAAACAAACCACATATTCTGGAGCACTGACGTCTGATTCTAGTGTTGCCATTTCTAGAAGATTTTCTTGTTGGAAACGACAGTAATAACAACCAACTTTATATTCTGGTATGCTATGCAGAAAAAAAAAATATTTTGTTACAGATACATCACAATAGATAAATGCAAAAAGCAAACATACATGAATTCTGTATTTTAACCCTCTAGCACTGGTGGCTCCTATGGTCATTTATAGCTCTCAGACCTTCTCTTTTTTCTGTGGTGCAGAGTGGTTTAAAAGGAAATAGTTGTAAACCCATGTAGTATTTTTTAAGTATTCAAACAGTAAATTATTTACTACAATATTTTTCTCAAAGCTACCTAGAAAAAAAGGAAAGTGCCATTGCATAAAGCTGCCATTAACAGGAGCAATATTCTGAGAGTATGGAATCAAGATTAAACTGAGTGCAGCAGCAGATGGGAAGATGTACAATGCTACCAATGTTTCTTACAGTTTCTCATTCACAAATAAATTTAAAAATTTACCTCAGCCCCACTGATGCTACACTCCCCATTCCTTCAAACAGGGCTCCTTTAGTAAGACGCTTAGCGATAAAGCTGCGCAGTTCAGTCTCTGCTTCAGCTGGTAAGTTAGTGTCCAGCAAGGAGAGGCTTTAAAAAACAAGAAGAAATCATTAGCAAAAATCAAATGTTACTGTTTTGTTTCTCAGAGGAAGTGCACAACAACCTTCTTCTAGCAGGGGGACCACTGTGATCTCTCTCTGGCTTACACCTAACTCACTCTGTGACTTCAGGCCCATGAGAAACGCATCCAGTGGTTTGCTCACCAGACCAGAAGTCTGGAGTTGTGCTGTCAGCTGACGATGAACTCTGCAGCAGCTATGACCAAGTCACTGCTCGTCTCTGTTCCTATGCTTCCTTAGTTCTAATACAGAGCAACAACTTCATTATAGAGCTTGTGGAAAGATAAGATGCCAATTTAAAATTGTTTAATAAAATTTAGTTATTATGTACATGATGACCTAAGTCAATACAGAAATGTCAAGTATTAGTAGCAAAACAGAGTTCAAACACAAAGATGATATTTTATGTTAAATACATCATCTGAGCTCTGTAGTTTTGTCCATTCCCCAGGTATTCCAGAAAACGCACCCAGGGCACTTCAGTGTGCTTTACAGAGGTTTCTGCTTTGAAGGGACTTACTTGCTTACTATTCACCTAACAGCAACACGGCAAAGACTTCCAAATGGGGTGTTACAGGCGATATGCTGTTTTACAGGTTGGCTTTACCTGAAATCTTCGCCGGAGGGTGACTCTGCAGCCGCACTGCTGGGACTGCCATCCCCACTGTCTGCTCCCTGCTCTGAGGATCTGAAAATCAAGCCATTATGATTGATTTCACAGCCTTAGCGCACAGACCAGGGAAAAGGGAATGCAGCGAGGAAAGGTATGGCCTAAGGGTGTTTTAAAGCAGAAGCAGGGAACCGGGGCGTTATAGGAGGGAAAAAAAAAAAATCTCTTCAGGGAGAGTGAGGGGAAAAAACAAAGTGAATTTAAGCAGCTAACTGACAAGGCCTGGAAACGGCCTCCCCGCCAAGGCCCCGGCGGCAGCAGCGAGCGGCCCCCCTCACCTACAGCTCCGGTAGCCGTAGAGGCTGTGGTAGGTGCTGCCGTGCCGCTCCGGCCGCCGCTCCTCGCCCGCGCCTCCGCCCTCCTCGCTGCTCTCCAGCTCCCGCTCGTCGCCGTCCGGCAGCGCCGGTAACATCCCGACCGGAGCCGCCGCCTGTGCCGCGGGGAAGGCGGCTCCCTGCCGCCGCCCCGGCTCGCCCGTTCCGGGCCCTGCGCTCGCCGCCCGCTGCTCCGCTCCCCGCCCCGGAGGTACGGCAGGGCTGCGCTACAGCTTCTCCCCCCCGCCGCGAGTGGGCGGACCCACGCTCGGCCCTCGGTAGCTGGGAGGAGCGTGGAGATGCTGGAGGTTCATTGCGAGGCGGAACCGCTCACGGTGCGATGTGCAATGTCCTCACCCAACCTGGAGCTGTACCGGACAACGCTGAAATAGCTCCCGTTGCCGCAGCTCCTCTGTTTGTGTTATGTGGTGACACAGTATAGACGCTGTAGTACCTGTATGGAGAATACTTAAAAAGCCTATTCACTAGCTTAATGGTAGGACCTGCTCAAATCACATTTGACGGGATTAGCTGTGCTGTTTTTAAAAAAGCCTACTTTACTTCTGATTTTTTTTTTTTTTCTGTTAAAACAGCACATTTGTTTGCTCAGCCTCATAATTGACATGCAGTTCTCACAAGCCCTGGGGCCGGGGAGCCACTCTCCCAGCCTGTGGCAGAGCCACTGCGGGAAACCAGGTCTCTGGGAAGCTGGGGAGCTGTGATGCTTCTCAGGGGCTAACAAAAACAACTCTTGACGGGACTTAACTGTAACAGTGACCAGCCCCTGGACAGGCAGGGGAAGCCCTGAGGCAGGTGAGGGCACAACACATCTCAGTTTTGTAGCGCTCTTGGAGAGCCGGGCTCCCCCTGCCCCAAGGCCTCCCCGTCAAGAGCCAGCTACACAGACACAGGTAACCACCCCCAAAGCCCGGCGCAAAGCGGCCTGCTTAAGAGATACCGGCTTCTTGCCCAGCCTGATTTCGTAAGGAAAAAGTTTCTCCTTGACAGTAAAACACGAAGACGGGAAGCCCAGGCAGGCGCCTCTGACAGCTCAGCGCCCCGATAACAGCCCCCTTCCCCAGCACAGCGACAGCGGCTGCAACAAAATGGCTACCGGGCGGCTCTGCGAGGCGCGACGAGCCAGCTCAGGCGGCGGCGGGGCCTTGCGCAGCGCCCCGCCTTCGCCGCGGTGCATGCTGGGAGCGCGGAGGCGGTGGCGCCAGGACTGGCCGTGGCGGCCATTTTGTGTCTCCCTGGCTCGCCTCCGTGGAGAGGACGGTGTGGGCGCTGCGGCTCAGGAGGGGAGAGCTTGGCTGCCTTCTGTGTAGATCGGGGGCGCTGCCGCCATGGGCCGTAAGAAGAAGAAGCAGTTGAAGCCTTGGTGCTGGTATCCTTCTGTGGGGGTCGAGGAGGGTGTGGGGAACTAGGTGGGGGAGGGGAGCGGCCTGGGCCGGTCGGTTTATGTCCCATCCTATCCTGTTCTTCCACCCCTACGACTCCTCGGTCTTCTGGGATGGGGCACTTTCCTTCTCTCCATCCCCGTTACGATTTCGTTCTGTACTTGGACCTGTTTCGTTTCTGTGTTCCTCAGCGCAGGAATGGGGCCTGGTTCGTGTCCTTCCTCCATTTCTTCTCTTCCTCCCCGCCCCGCGGCCTAGGCCATTCGCTCCCGCCTCCGTCGCTTGAGGCCGAGGCCGATCTGTAAGGCCAGGGCAGGTCGCAGCTGCAGCCGGCTGTCCGTAGCGCTCTGGCCGCCATGCCCGGCAAGATTGCCGAGGTCGTGGGGAAAATGGAGAACGGTCTTTATACCCCGGGAAGGAGGGTGTTAACGGGAGAAAATCCTGTCTCTGATAAATATAGTTATTCAAGAAGTGGGGCGGATGTGGTTAAAAGAGACTTCTTGAAAAGTTGATTTGTTTTTTGGAGGGGGAGCTTTCAGGCTCGTAATTTCTGTATCAAAGTCACGTATAATTTCTCAGTATCCAGAAGTACACTTGGATTTTTCTTCGATTGCTCCTTCACAATCTGCTTTTTGTTGGGGGGATGATTACAACTTTAGCGTTTCTTCCTCTAAAATGTTTCAGCCTGATCTAAAATTGTTTAATAAAGGAATTTATAAGCTGGTCTGAGATATTTTACAATTTTATGTTGGAAGGCAGCTGTGCTTCTGTTTTAGATTATTAATATATTTCAAATTCTGGTGGAAGTGAAGGACACTTTGTGTTAACAAGGAAGAGCTGATAAATAAGAAATGTGTATTTGTGTCACTTAAGATGATGTGTGTGGAGTGTTTGCTGAAATATTAATGCTGACCTGCAGAAAGGAAAATGCAGTTTGCCTCTTCTGTCACATAGATTTTTAAGCAAAGAACTTTCTGGACATCTTTCTGCTTCAAAACAAAGTTCTTTAGTGACTGCAGCGAATTATGTGGTGTCGTAAGAATCAATAGCTGGATAACTGAAAAAATAAAGGAATTTTTAACTAAAACCTTTGTTCTTTATTTAAATGTTATCTACAGATACTTGTTACTAAATAGGCACTTCTGAGTATTTAGCATCACTTCCCTTTCATGGATTTCAAGTCTATTTCTTCTTTAATTCTTTAGCAACTTTATTTTAACCTACAGGTATGCAGAGGAGGAATGGGTCCACTTAGAAACAACTAGGTCTTGAGAAGCATGTGTCAAAGAATATGGACTCAAATGATTCTGGTTACGTGCACATATCTTGTCAATTTTATATCTGAAGAGGAAAATGCTGGATGGCATGAGGGGGAGGTTTGGTTTCAGACATTGATGAAATATGTGTCATGCTTGGAATGCTCATAAATGCTTCCTTTTTTTTTTTCTTTTGCTTCAGGAAAAATCAAAATTATGCTAACTAGCTCAGTGTTATAAGAAGGTTACTTTTAGGATTAAATGTTTCCTTAACAGTCTTCAATAGGTATTGTAACAGGGATTTTGATGATGAAAAAATCCTTATACAGCATCAAAAAGCAAAGCACTTTAAATGCCATATATGTCATAAGAAACTGTATACAGGACCTGGTTTAGCTATACATTGCATGCAGGTAAGAAATTTTAGACTTGCATAAGCTTTTCTTAACAGTAGCTAAAATTGGAATTAATAATGTGCTTAAAAAGGTGGGGGCTTGGGGGCTTCCAGTGTCTGAGAACTGAGGAGGAAAAGATAGCGGTGGTCTGTTTCCTGAACAGAGTCCTGCTGTGTCAGCAGTCATAGGGAGAGTGCAGAAGAGATCTCTGCTGTCATTTTTGGGATGTGGGAGGAATGAAGGAATTATGTTGTGTTGGTGTTCAGAAGACAAGTTTATATAAACTGGCTTTAGAAGCTAATAGTAGTTAATAGTGATGAAGCAGCACATACCAAGAAAACGCTTGGCCAGAGAGATTCCTCCCATTAAGGGTGGTCCTTTTCTATCTTGAAACTGGCTGAAGAAGACATAGAATCTAACCAGTATTGTGGTCAGGAGGATTTTTTTTTTTTTTTTTTTTTTTTAACTTTAGGTACATAAAGAAACGATAGATGCTGTTCCAAATGCTATTCCTGGAAGAACAGACATTGAACTGGAAATCTATGGCATGGAGGGCATTCCAGAAAAAGATATGGAGGAACGGAGGAGGTTACTTGAACAGAAAACTCAGGGTAAAGTGTAATCTAGCTAATTACCTCTTACTTCCCTAGTCTGTTTCTTACTGATATCAAGCTGTGTGATACAGGTCTCGCTTCTCAGAAGAGTAAGGGTTGGGTTTAATGCATTCTCTAACTGCAGCTCTAGACATATGCCAGTCATGTAGACAGTTGAGATATTTTTCTTTTCCTGTTTAGAAGTAGTTACATGCCAGTGCAGCTATAACAATTACCTAATGAATATGGGGATGGTGATTATATTTTTTGAGGGTAAGGAGAGGAAAGGCCAGAGGTGATGCAAGCCCGATGATGCCCAAATACTTAGATTCCTTTGCTCTTTAAGTATATCTTTGTTTGCACTGCTTTGGTTTGTTCTGGACAGCGTGAGACTGACATGAAGGATGACCCCCATTTCTGATGAGGGTCATTACAGTGAGTCACTTTTTTCCCTTTTATTTATATGGATAGGTAGGCTCACGTAGTTTTTTTTTTTGTAATTCTCTGAATTTTTTATAAGATTTGAATTTTATTCTAATTCCAACTAGAATACCCCAGATAAAATTAGTTTCCTAGAATATAATTTGCCTTTGATCTGACCATATGCATTGTACTCTCCAGCAGAGAGCCAGAAAAAGAAACAACAGGATGATTCTGATGAGTATGAAGATGATGAATCTGCAGCTTCAACTTCATTTCAACCCCAGCAGGTTCAGCCACAGCAGGGGTACATTCCCCCAATGGCTCAACCAGGTTTGCCTCCTGTGCCAGGTGCACCAGGGATGCCTCCAGGTAAGATGATGTTTTAAGCTAGTTACTGAAAAGCTGAGTAGAAACAAAAATTTCTGCTTGTGTACTGGAAGAATAATACGCACTTTCCAACACTGTGTGTTAGAAGTCACAAAACAATTTTGTGAGCTGCACATAAGCAGTTTCTTCATTTTCTTACCCCATTCTGTGTGTGCATGCACATCTTCCTTTGTGAAGTAGATAAAGATACCTAATGTTTGCACTTAGACTGAAGGAATATGGTAGTAAAAGTGATTAGTACTTTAAACATAAGTCTACCAATGCTATTTGTGGTGTTTTTTAAACAAGATTTTTGAGAAACAGCAGAAAAGGTGACATATATCTAGAGACTGCTAACATAGAACAGGCAGTTTATGCACAGGCCACAAATACGTGTCTTCACTGTATTTTCTGTAATAAGGCATGTTCTTTGGAGACTTCTAAGGAAATTTACACAGTCTTGCAGGACTGAGAACAAAGAATATTAAGTCATGCTTGCAGATAATATTTTATATTGCGTTGTTTGTAAGCAATGTTATTTCAAAAAACAATGTTTCAGAGCTTCCTGTAATGCATTTATTTTGTCTAAATTTATTAGATGAGATTTATTAATGAACATACATTGTCAGAGTTTAATATTTGTTTTTCTTTTAAGGTATACCACCATTAATGGCAGGTGTTCCACCTATGATGCCTGGAATGCCTCCAGTTATGCCTGGAATGCCACCTGGGTGAGTAGCAAGAAAGACGTAATATTACATGTTCATACTGCGCATATTAAACTGTCACAGGAAGAGTAAAACTAATTAGAAAAATGTATGTAGGGACCTGTGAACTCTGTAACCTTATTATTAAGACTAACCAAAGAACTGGATGGCTGTAAACCAACATTAAAAATGTGGCCAAGCTGTGAGTTATGTATAAAGTATGTTTCTTTTCTCCTAACTTTATTGAGTAGTAATATAAGAATTTGAAGTCCTATTGTGTTGGTTTAGAGTCTTCTGTGAACCACTGTTCCTTTGTGTATTGCACATATGTTGTGCATCTGATTATCAGTCATCAACCTAACAGGAAAAAAAAAATACTGGATAGTTTAAATTTTTCTTGTATTTTGGGCAAAAGTAAGATGTTTGTTTTTATGCTTGTTTGGGGTTGACACCGTACCCTATCACAATGTGTTTGGAAAATCACAGTTAGATTTTTGATTTTGTCATAAATTTTCACAGATTACATCAACAGAGAAAATACATGCAGTCATTTTGTGGTGGAAACATGTAAGCATCTCATTAATGTAATTCTAGGTACATTCATTATGCCATTTTATGTCATGTTTTTGATAAGCTTGAAGCTGTCTTGCTGAAAACCTCTGAATATTGCATAAGAATTTTGGGAAAATGTCTAGTTAGATTTTGTTATTGTATAATATCTGAAGTTTTTATGCTTTACATAAATATTACAAAACTATATGAGAAATGCATTCTACAAGGTATTAATAAAATAGACCCTTAGGGACTTATAACGTAGAGCTTCATGTGCTTGATCCTTTACACTGTAGGACATACTGCAGGCTATGTTTTAAAATGCACTGAGGTGAAATGTTGTCTTCTGAGACATAAATATTGTTTTAACAGTCTTTAAATTTATAAACATGTTGTAGTGGAACATCTTGGGGATGTTCATTATGACTGTAGCCTTTCTGGGTGGAAACTGAACAGAATTTTATCAGGCTTTCTGATGCTTAAGTCCTCCTTAAACTCTTTGTTAACTTCAGGTGAATGTAATGTCATCTAGTAAAAGATAAAAATTAATTTGCCAAAAATTCACTGCACTTCCTTTTCTGTGAAATTTTAGGGGAGGGTAGTGTGGTGTTATATTGTGCTTTCACCTAGTTTAACCTAAAATTTTGCTTAACCTGATGATACTTTGTTTAAAATGAGCAAAGAAGAATTAAGAACTAGGAAGCAGCTTTGGTTTTAGTGTGACACTAGTTCTAGCACTATTCCTGTGGTTTCTCAGAAAATCATCTTTCTGGTGGCAGCAGACAGCGAGTGTTCAGCACTATTTTTTGGGTTTAAGAGATAGTTTTTCAAAATGGGTGTTGAGACTGACTTTGCCTTCTCCAACTGTTAACCCGAAAAGGGGCAATGGTACCCAGTCATTACTGCTTCTGCATTGGTTGTTCCTTCTGTGGCAGTGGTAGGCAAGTTAAGAATAAAAAGAAGACTGGGTAGCACTTTGCTTTGCAGAATGAATGCTCGCCTGTTGATGATGATTTGGTTTGATTTTGAAACGGCAATGGTGAAGGTGTCTTGACTTTGTCATATGAATAAAAACTGCTGCTTAGTGGGGTTTTGGTGTGCAGTTGGCTGCTGTGTGTCTGCTTATCTTGCCATCTAAAGTAATAAGCATTCCTTTATTTTGTTTCCCTAATCCAGCTTTGAATGTGGAAAAATTTAAGCAAATTTAAACTAGACTTTGTCTCTTCCCCGTAAAGGAATCATACATATTTGTCTATAGCTTGTCAATTTAAAAGCAGTTAGTGTTTTAGTTTATTTTATAAGGAGTTGCAGCCCTGTGCAGGAGGAATTTGCTTATATTAAGGGTTGTATATATGGTTTAGATAGGGAACATGTATTAAGCTGTAGTATAAATAAAACTCATTTAGTTGCCACTTTTCTGTTAGGAAATAAAGACCATTTTTTTTCTCTAGGTAACATTAGCAAGTTAAACTACCTCAAACCTGGTTTTAATATGAAGGGAAAATATGCCATAATAAGGACTTCTCATTTTAAAACAAAAATAAATCCCATTTTCTATTCTTAGTGTAGATAATGTTTACTGTAATTGAAACTCCAGAAGCTTTCTTACCCTGTGGTCTCTAATCTGCTTTTATTAGTGTTTTGTGGATAGTTCTGTGGATCTGGGTTGTCTGCCATTCATTAGAGGAAGGAGAATATGTTAAAATAGTATGAAGGTGCTATAATCACAAATAGACTTCTGTTGTCGAAGGAGTAGTAGTGGAGGTAGAGCAATTTTAGTGTGATTTGAGTTAGCTGTTTTTCCTACTTTCACATTTTTTGAGTGTACTAAGATGAGGTTCTTGGAGCACTCTGCTGAAACTAGTAGCCTGAAATAGATTTCAAGAGACACCAATTCTGGAAATCTGATAATAGTGGAAGTGGAAGCTTGAGGAATTAAATTTAAAATAAAAAGTGTTTGGGGGGTTTTCTAGGGGTGGGTTTGGGGAATTTTTTTTCTTTTTTTTTGTGGAGTCAGCTGGTTTTGAATTGCCTTTGTTGAGAGCTTCTTGAAATTATTTACCATAATTTTTTGTCTAATACAGGTATGTGCCAATTGTCTTAACAGTTTATCATGAGTGTTCATACCAGTGCTCATTTTCTGTTAAATAGGATGATGCCGATGGGTGGAATGATGCCTCCTGGGCCAGGAATACCACCTCTTATGCCTGGTATGCCACCAGGTAGGTCAGAGTTGTTGAACTCGTACTATGGTGAGAGCTGAATTATATTTATTTCCACAAAGATTTAGGATATATATAAAGAATATACTTCTGTGTGGATTGTTTGTCACAGAAGCCACTCTTGTGCACAGGTGAAGGGGTTGATACGTGACTTTTGATTATAAGTAATTACGTGTGTTTGGTACCATTTTGAAGGTAAAAAATAGAATACAATTTTCTCTTCCGATTGCACTTTATTTTTTGTGTTAACTAGTCTATCTTCATCCCTTTTCGTAATGTCTGTGGCTGTACCTGGAAAATCATAATCATTGAAAATGTTGTGGGAAATGAGAGGTGCCCAAGTAATGAACCTGCTGTGTGAAGCAACTAACTGCAGTTTTGGCCTTTTATCATAGCTAGAAGAGATATTTGTCAAGCTTGTGCAACTTTTAAATAGTGTTAAGTTTTGAGAGTGTTTCACCTGGCCAGCAGCTGTGCTGTAATGGCTTGAGATTTGCTGGTTTTCCCACATTTCTCACTGGAGGAGGAGACAAGCCACTAGGACAGTTATAGCCTGGTCCTGCTGCACAGTAATATGATAGAAACCATGTGAGCTGTTAAATTCCTGTCCCTGACCCTCTCCTAGAGCCCCACACATGAAGTGTATGTATTGTGATGACACGCTACACAGAGTAGCCTTGTGTCACTGGTCCCTTGTGCTAAAGACCCACAGCAAAGCTGATCTGTTTCAGTCACAGTTCTGGTACTGTTCTTAATGGCTGCATCTTTTAGATTTTGTAAGTGACTTATATGTGTGCTTGGCAGCATAGGCACAGTGGGTTGGAAACAGCTACTGCATTAATTGCATTGATTTATTGAGAGCTTATAAACTTCATCATTGAAGCTCTAGTAGAAAACACAAATCAGTATTGTTCTGAGGTGTTTGATGTTACTGCCTACACATGGACATTTATGGGTGACTGCTGGCATTACCCTTCATCATGTTTTATTTTACTATTGCCTTAAAAATACATCTTCCTAGGGGGAAACTTTGTTCTAAGGCACACTGTGAACAGAATCCTCTAAAGGAGTATTCTTAATTCCCTCAGCCTCATTCGTTATTGGCTCTTTGTGGTTTGTAGGTATGCCACCGCCTGTTGGTCCTCGTCCTGGGATGCCTCCAATGACACAAGCACAGCCTGTTACAGCACCGGGCATTCTTAACAGACCTCCAGCTCCTGCTGCATCGGCGCCTACCCCCCAGCCTCCAGTTACTAAACCACTCTTCCCAAGTGCGGGGCAGGTAAGGTATCTCATAGCCTGGAACCTATTGTTACATTCTTCAAGTTGCCACTGTGTCAACAGTGTCTGTTCTTTATTATTGAGGAGGCCTGAGAAATGACTGATTAAGTTTCTTGCTTGTGTTGATTCTTAAGTTTAATTCAGTGTAGTGCTTGAATGAATTTTAAAAGATTCTTTTGTTTGTCTTACAACAGCCATGAAACCAGACAGAAGTTCTGTAAGCACGTGGGGAAGAAAGGAGTAGGCAAAACACTTCTTTCTTTAATCCCTCTAGTTTGTCATTTATAATGGTACTTTGGGTGGGTGAAGGGATGTGTTAGTCAGCTACAGGAATCTGATTGCATAGAACTTTACCTACAATATCCAAAGTAAAAATCTTGACTTGTTCTCTCCTGTTCTTTTCATAATGGGCTCTCTACAGAGAGACTAATTTATTCTGTAGTTCTGTTAGACTGGTTAAACATTTCCTGAACTAGGAGGGTTTTTAGTTTAAAAACTTGAGGCGTAAGTTAAGGTAGTAAGATTTTGTTAAATGTTTTGGGGAGGGAAGTGGGGAATGGATAGAGGCTTGTGACCTCTACCCTTTGCACGTGTGTATAAATCCTGAAGTTTTTACTTGCTTTCAAGTATGTTGCAGAAACCTTCATAGTGTACTATTTGCATTTTGGACTTCTGCAGGGAAGATATTCGTTTACAAAAACCACAGTCCTTTCATAAGAAAGGACTTAGCATAAGAAATCCTTTCATCTGGATACTTTCCACCCATTTGTTTGGAGACTTTTCACTGTTTCCTTTCTTTTATGCTACAGATGGGGACACCTGTCACAAGCTCAAGTGCAGCTTCCTCCAATTCAGAAAGTCTGTCAGCATCTTCTAACGCTCTGTTTCCTAGCACAGCACAAGTACGCAGGAAGTCACAGTTAAAAACAAATTGCTTTGCAACTTAACCCTTTGGACCGTTCCACAAAATGTAAAATTGACTAAACATCTTCAGATAATTTCTTTTATATTCCTGATTATGTTTAGCTGGTAAAACAGCAATCCTTGATTGTGAGTTGCATCTTACTAGAAATCAGCATGTCAAAGAGCCCGATTTTTCTTAGTGTGAAAGAACAAAATGTTACATCCTGGTTCTAAAGGGTTAAAAAAGCATGAAAGCAGTTAAATGCATTTTAGTGGGCAGTGGTTAGCTTGATGCATGGTGAAGGCTTTTTAGTTTGTTGTTTAATATGGTACATATATAATGTAGGGAATTCTGTAGTTTGCATCATGTGCAAAAAAATAAATTTTTTGATTGGTAAGTTGAGATAAGTGTAAATGTACGGTAACTAGAAACAAAAGCATTCTCTCATAACTAAATCTTGCTTTGGAGATTGCTGCATCTTCAGAGAAAGCCTGGTAAAGCGAACTCTTCTTGTCTAACAATTTAAGAAAATAGTAGGAAAGATGAGATGTTGGAATCTGTAGTGGACTTCATATCTGCCTTGAGTTGATTCTTCACGAGCAAGATCAAAGATCTATAGAGAGGCATAGTACTTTGTGAAAATATTGCAGTGTTTTTATGGAGAGAACGCTTAAAAACCCTGACACAGTAGAGCTTTCTTAAATGTTTAATTAAAACATTTCTTAAATACCTAATTTTAATGAATACTAACACTTTCAGCTGTACTCGAAGCTAATGGTTGCTAAAGTATGCTAATTATTTAGTGAGAGAACACTGAATTTATACTTAAAGGCTCTTAAAACAGTGATTCAGGAAGGATTTAGACATTTACCGAACTCGGCATTCGAGATAAAAATTTTGACAGTGGGGGATTTTTTTTTGTTGTTGTTCCTTTTTTTCTAGTTGTGGCTTTTGACCTGCAAATTTTAGACTTTCCAGTGTGTGCGTGTGTGTATATGTGTGTATATACTGGGTTTTATTTCGTCTTGTTTTCAGTCGCTGTAGTATGCGATAAGGCTGAACTTTACTTTGTCAAGCTTGGTTTAATTATGTATTTCACTGGAAGGTTTCAGAGGTCTAACAGACATCATTTAAGTTTTCTTATGCTTTGAGAAATAAATATTGATCTATCTCCGTGTTTCACAGGCTGCGGCAGCTGTTCCAGGTCCAGTTGGTACTGATTTCAAACCTTTGAATTCTACACCTGCAACAACAACAGAACCCCCAAAACCTACATTCCCTGCTTACACGCAGTCTACAGCCTCAACCACTAGCACGACTAACAGCACTGCAGCTAAACCAGCTACATCTATAACAAGTAAGCCTGCTACCCTCACAACAACCAGTGCAACCAGTAAGTTGATCCATCCAGATGAGGATATATCACTGGTAAGTTAAAATATTTTCATTGTCTTACTGAAAAATGCAATTTATGCTGATGTGGCTGATTAAATAGGATTTCTTCTGTGCACTGCGTTTTGTGTATTTTAGTAATGGTGAGAATGTAAACTGTTCAAAATAATGTAACAGAACCATGCATTGAGAACTTCCTCAGTTGCAAAGTGTTGATTGGCATGTTGCTGCAGATCTAAGCCTTATTTTTGTTGGTGATAGGAAATTACTCAACCCAAAATATAATTTGGACTTCTTCTGCATGTGACAAGCTTGAAGTTAAATTGGTATAGCTAATGAGTGCAGGACAAAAAACTTAAGTTTGAAGTGGTATTGGTGCCATTACAGCACTCAAATACGGGATTTATGGATAAAAAAAAAAATTAACCTTAATTTCAGTTGAGATATCTTTAGATTTGTGTTCGACTTTTATGTCTCATCTTCGTATGAGGAAGAGACTTTCTTCAGCTGAGAGAGGAGAAGAATTTGTTGCCTGAAAAATGCTAGATTGGCCAGTATTAATACTGTAACTTTGAAGGAAGGGGGAAAAATCCAAATGCTACTGTGTAATGTTACTAGTAGCAGTCTTTGAACTTGTAAGATAGTTGAAATAGTTTAGTACCTGTAATCTGCTTAGTTACACTTTTACTTACTTCGCTTTTGTTGAGTTTTAGTCTTGAAATAGGCGTAATGGTTGTCTATTCCTGATTTTAGGAAGAGAGAAGGGCACAGTTGCCTAAATATCAGCGCAATCTTCCTCGACCGGGACAGGCTCCCTTGGGTAATCCACCAGTTGGACCAATTGGAGGTATGATGCCACCGCAGCCAGGAATTCCTCCACAGCAACAAGGAATGAGACCTCCCATGCCACCTCATGGTAATCATAAGTTTCCCAGCTTTCTTTTCTTGAAAAGATTCCTCTTTATAGTAAACCTTTTTAAAATTTGAAGTGGCATGTACTGGGGGGGGGGGGGGGAGGGGGGCGTGAAGCTTTTCACAAAATGCAACTTCTGCCCGTTATTTAAAAAAAAAAAAAAAAAAAAAAATTGCATCTTAAATGTTCTGTTTATAGGTCAGTATGGTGCTCATCACCAGGGCATGCCAGGATATCTTCCTGGAGCGATGCCTCCATATGGTCAGGGACCTCCAATGGTGCCCCCTTACCAAAGTGGACCTCCTCGACCTCCAATGGGAATGAGACCTCCTGTAATGTCGCAAGGTGGCCGCTACTGATGCTACTACACACGCCCTAATAGGTTTGGAGATTAAACCTTTTCTCATCTTGTGCTGTTAATATAGCCGAGCTTCCGTCAATTAAAGCTGCATTGTGACTTTAAAAAAATAAGTATCTTCCCACATGCAAGGAGCTATTGGACATTCTTATTTTACACGGGAAAAATTATTTGGAATAATAACAGGAACTTTTCCTGATGTTGCAATTTATACTGTATGGCTTCTTTTTCATGTTTCATCTAGGTATTTAGAAGTGAAGTATAGTAAATATGGTTCGTTAAATTGTGAAGGCGCTGGAATTACATGAACATACCACCTTAAAGGCAAGTTCTGTAACATTATGTTGCTATTTGTGAAATGATGCCTTCACAGCACTTCAGGTGCTGTTGGACTTCATGTCCCCAACATAGTTTGGTGAGGGCTGTAACTGTTCCCAACTACTTGTACATTTAAGTCTGAACTTGTAACAATATTTAATGTATTTAGAGTTCTTCCTGTTTCAGGGTTTAAGTAAACTGACCCACTAAGGTCGTGTGACTTTTCTGTACTGTTATAAACTTCATTGTAATAAAAGAAGAGAAAAATTTATATGCCTTTTTATTCATGACCAGCTGTGGACAACTGCCTGAAAGGTTTGTACAGATGCATGCCATGGTAGCTGTTGGTGTAATGAACACAGTTAATGGTGCTGTTTTGATAAAATCTGAATTCTTTATTCTAAAATTAAGTCACTTAGCTGCACGTCTGAGTAGACAAAGACCTGTACACTTATTAACAGACTCCTCAAAAATGAGGCTGCAGGAGGCACATCTTAACTGTTGCTTGTAACTTCTCATAATGCGTATGTTTCTTTATTTGTGCTTTCTTGTCCTCAATAAATTTTAAATGATTTCTAGTCCTGGCACTTGTAGGATGTAAAAGTGATTGCTCTAAGATGCATCCTAGTGCCAGATGTGTCCCGTTAGTTCACTCTTCGACTGACTCGTTTTAATGTGCAAATGCATATGAATTTCAGGAGCCTTTTAGATGGAGATTTCTAGAAGCTTAGGTGCATGTCACATGGGTGAGTGACTTCCAGTTGATGTTGTATTGAAGTTGACCTGCAAAAGAGAAAAAGTAGCTTGATCTTCTCAATGTGTAAGAGAGACAGAGGGGACAAGAGTAATATGTTGCGTGATATATTTTTACTTTAAATGTTCAGAATTTCAGATCTCAACAGAATCTAAAAGATGAACCACCCGTTGTGTGCTATGATCAGATGTTGGCTGAGTTTCTTGAGCCAATTAATGGAAGTGTCTAAAGTAAGAGACCTTATCAGTTCTTCTAATTACAGTTATCAAAAAGAGGTCTTCCCCATATGAATTAATTATTTATCTGTTTGTAAGAGTAGAGTGATAAGTTACTGTCAAGGTTGTAATTCTCTGAATGTCTAACATCACTGTTAGTGTGCTGTATTTCTGATGAGAATGAAAATGTACAGGGAGACTTTCTGGAGGGAAGGGAAGTGAGAGCTTCCCTCTTCACAACAGGAGAATAAAGGAGTGGTAAATTTTTCATTTGCAGGTCAACTTTAAATACATTGTTCCAGCCTCAAGCCTTATATGTGCAATTTAATTTTTGGGAATGTCTTTTCTTTTAGGATAGGTTAGAAAGATTGTCAGCATTTTCATGTTGGTTTATGTTTCATGGATGTTTTTGGTGGTGGTGGAGTTTTTTCACTTAATTATAATTATGAGCATTTTGGCGCTTTCTCTTGAAAGTCTTTGGATTTTTTTAGCTGCACTTAAGTACTTTTATGTGGCTTTATTTTGTGCGGTCTCTTAATAGTCCAGAAATACAGTACAGCTAAAATACTACATTGGCTCTGAGCTTCAAACCTGGGGTCATGGCCTTAGTTTAACCATTAAGAATTATCAGGCACTTTCTGAAGTGTTTAGCAGTTTTCAGACCATAACTCCAAGCCTCTGTTGAGAAGCAGTTCTCTCTGATCGCTGTTATCTGCTGATCACCTGTCAGATGTGCGGTATTTGGCTTGCAGATGTGCTGAGTGGGCCTTGATGTCGGATCTTTTGTTAGCTCTTCATCTTGCTTTATACATAAGTCTAACAGATAAAACTGTTTTGCTTGGGCAATGCTTTTATACTGTGGATTTCTTTTGTTTTTCTTTAATAGGATAATTGCCAAACGAAACACTGGAAATATTTTTACAGTGTCTTACGTTCATCCTTTTTGTAATACTACACATAAAATTCATATATTATAAATTGATCTTAACTTATGCTTTTAAAACTTACAGAACTTCTTGCTTTTTCTGAAGATCGTATTGCTACTGTAAGGATGCTTTGCCTTCCTGCCCCTAGTAAAGTAAATACCTTCTCCCTTCAGTGTCTTTCTGTAACTTGTTGGTATGTTGTTTTCAGACCCCTACTTTTTCTGGGATAAATACTTGAAAACCTTACTGCATGTATTGTTAACTCAGCATATTCTGCAAGTTGTATTAATTAATAATTTCCCTCTTTTAGCGAATGTCTTGTTGCGATAGTAGTACCATTTTTGTAGCTAATACTACATAGATTTATAGCTTGTACACATTTTAAGATTGAATTTTCCTTAGCAGTAATGTTATGATAATTCCTCAACTAAATACTGCCACATATTATTCATATGGTACTCTAATAACATTCAGCAAGCAGGTAAACAGTTTTTCCATGATTTTTCACGTGGATACTTACTTTCCTGCTCCTGTCATTTCTGTGCTGTAAGACCTGTGATGTGGCTATCTTTAGTTACTCTCCTGTCTCTTGCGTGTACTCTTCTGTAAACAGGCGGGTATTTCAGTGCATATGTTATCTGTTGGTCCCTGCCTTCATTTCTTAGGATACTGCTTCTTAATGTTCAGAGAGTTGGATTTATGGTGCATTTTCCCAAAAAGAGGAAAACTATTTTGAATGTGGTAATTGCTTATATAAAGACTGAGGCTTGGTTTACAGTGCAAAGTTTAATCAACATTGTTCTGCCAGCAAAATCCTTAATGTAATGCAGCCATGTAGACAGTTTTTTGCTTTATTCAATCTCTCCCTGGAAGGAGATTTCAGAAACCTATATGACTACAGAAAAGCATATCTCTTCTCTATCTGTTGCAGGACTCTAGTGGTGTGTAGGCAAAAGCTTTGGTTTTCAGTTGTTGCTTAAATTTGCCATGGCAGATCTTAGTGAAGTTAAAACTTGCAAGTGGATTTTGATAAATATTTGAATTGGAATGTAATGCAAATGTTGAATGAATTAAAAAAAACAGGCTGCAAGAAGATGCTTAGACACAGTTGGGAAAATACGTTTAGGAAAATACTTAGGAATTATGGCATCTAGGACGTGTTTTAAAGGTTCTAAATCAATATCACTATGAGAGGCTGATCTTTTATCTGTTGATTTTTAGAGCAAAAAGGATGAGACTGGTATGAAAAAACCTTGAAAAAGCCCGGGCTAGTTTTTCAGAAGTCTTGATATGACTGTTTCGTACTGCCTCCAGAATATCTTTCTGCCTTTGGCAGAGATTGGTTTAAATAAAATCTTGAAAATTTAGCTGGCTTATGTGGACTAAAGTTGTCTTCTGGAACTTTGGGATTTATTTATTTAATCTTATTTTTTCCACAGATGAGATATTTTTAGGTGCTGATAATAAATTTGAGGCTGGGATTTATATCTAATAATTTCAGTGGATGACTATTCCTCGCTCTGTGCATGCATGGGAGAATATAAACAAGCTTCTAGAAACATATTCAGCTGCATCTGCCTTCTATGGGTTCTGCAATTATTTTAGTGTATGGAGCTCTTGAACACAGAACTGTATAATTTACTTTCTTAAAACTGGGATAAGATTGAATGGAATGTATAACCTGCAGTTATTTTATATCAAGATTACTTCAGTTTTATAAACAGCAAGAAGGGTATTATGACTCTTCAGTTAAATTGAGACTGATATACCAGTCCATGAGCTGGGGCTGCAATTTAAAATGGTAACTAAAGACACTTAAAAATAACAGTAAATGTCTTAATAATTGTACTGGTCTAGCTTCTACATAAGTACTAAGGTGAGGGTGAACATTTTCAGTGGCTGATGGAATCTTTAACTACTTTTTGTGAACTAGTACAGTAAATACTATTAGTTATGGGAAAAATGCCCCAAGACAACTGACTTATGTTCCATTGATCAAGATACAAAGCAAAACAAACAGTCTAATTCAGAAATAGCTACCAACTGTAAAAAGTTTTGTTTAGGTCTAACAAAATAGGTGCTATAGCAGTCATTTTCTTTGGTTTGCTTGATCACTGGAATTTTGTTAACTTTGAATGCATGTCTTTCACTTAATTGGGTCATGTTTTTTCTAAAATTTAAATTTTTCTTCTTCCTATAGCCCTGCCATAGGACAGGCTGAGGCAGAGTCTCAGTGTTGCCCTGTTCAGTCTGAGGCAAGTGGGATTTATTTTATTCATTCTGGGGGCTTTCACAGCTTTCTGGCTGTTGGATATTTATGTCCCCAAACTTGCAGCAAGTTTGGTGAAGGCCCCTAAATTTATTTTAATTTAGGTTTTTTATTCTCTTTTGGTAGATGGGCTCTATATTAATATTTATCTTTTTATTGTTGTGTTTTTAAGAGTCTTAGGGGGAGGGAACATGTTTTAAGATGTTTGGGTACCTTTCCTCTTAACGGAACGCGTTTCCTTCAAGGCTGGTCAGGTAGTCCTTCAGCCACACTGCCCCCCTCCCCCTCTTCCCCTGCATTGCATTTGTGCTGTCTTTGGTTTTGGTTTTAGTAATGTGACTTTGTGTAGTTTCTGAACTGGTGGCATGTAAATACCAATTACTAATGTTTCCTCTTCTGGGGAGATGTATCCTTTGAAGTGCTTAAAATACTTAGGTTTTAACTGGTAAGTGACATTTATAGTCACAAAATTGTGTAGCCTAAATTATAGAGTACAGTTTATTTGGAGGAGTTTAAGATATTAATACTGCTGCATATGTAAGCTGCACCACAACAAATATTAATGTAGAGCCCTATGAAGAAATAGAGATTCAAGTTGGTAAAGTAGAGTAGAAGAATGGGAGATTGAAGCTGCAGATTTTTCAGTTTGTCAGCTTCAGGGAAAACCTTCTGTCAATTGCTCAAATACACCAAACTTGTCAGTATTTTTGTCTGTTGCAACAATACTGAAAGTCAGCACTTTTTTGAAACCTTGTGGAATTCTCTTGCATATTCAGAATTTGCTTAGGTATATGCCTGTCTGAAGTTCCTTCTGTCACACAGTGACAGTAAAAAATTCTGCCCTTTGTGAAGAAAAATAAGCTTTAGTGTTGCTGCTCACTCTGTTGCACATGTTGACTTAAAGACAACTTTAGCTTCAGAGGAACAGATTTTGTCCAAGGAGGTCTTGTAGCCTGTCAGCAGTGAAATAGAAAATTTACAAATGTTGGAGTCAAGTTTTATAACTTTTTTCTAAATTTTTTAAGATCTTTTTAAAATCTGTGGTGTTTTTTGATGAGCACAGATTGTCTTTCATTTCTTCAAGATTTTGCTACATAATGACCTTCAATGTGATTTCCAGTAGTTCTAAATGATAGAGTTGTAATTCCAAACTTAGTAGAGTGGATCTCACATTCCTGTTGTGCTCTTCTTTGTATTCTGCTCTTTGCATTTTTCCTGTGAAAAGTCCCCCTAAATAATCTTATTTTGACTGGAAAATTGGTATGTCTTCTGTTAACTATTTCAAATTATTATTGAGCATGGTGTTGCTTTTCTAATTCTTATTGTGGTGTTACCCTTGATAACAGTGAAGATGAGAACAACATTTCAAGATACACTACTGCAACTGATATTTGTTTCGCCTGTTTAGTCTATAGGAGCATTTGGCTTAGTTCTTGTTTCCCTTGAACATCTAAGGAAACCATTTAACCAAAAATAATATGCAATATAGCTTGTAACTCTTGCTTTAAGTATCCGAATCTTAGGGACTCAGAATGGAAAATAGGCAAATTTCAAAATTCTGATACTGAACTTCAGTCGGTTTCCGTTTAAGACCAATGCAGCATTAGGTAGTTTTATCCAGCTACTCACATTCATCTTATCAAGCACACAAAGCTAAAATTCAGATATGTTTGTGGTCTTGTGTCCAGTGGAGTACCCTACTTAAATCCACACTTGGGTTATATCTTATAAATTGATACCCTGGTGAGATCCTGAAGTTTTCGAATTCAGAGAAACTTCTTTGACCTGTTTTTGTTGAGGATAACTAGGTTTGACATGTTCATGGAAAAGATGTCTCCAAAATGCAGTCCCTCTTTTTACTCTGTCATTGTTTAAGCTATGTATACTAATACTTTTGAGGAAGTGAACTGTTTCTTTGTGTTTTGGCATGTTTGTAGGCAAAACAGTATTTCTCAGCACCACATCGCTATAGATCTTTTTTCTTATTTTTCTTGAAGCCGCTCTTAGACAATTCCAAGATCAGTTTCACACTGTTTACGTCTGAAAGATGGATTTGACATTAAGACAATTCCATGGGGTGTTAATGTATGAATTAAAGGGGGTTTTGACTCTGGCTTTTTTTTGACTATGTTGCAAATACTGTTTGTAACTTCTAGTGGGTAGTTCACACATCCTTCACTTCCATCCTAGACAGGACAGGTCTTTTTTGTTCCTTCTTTAGGAGTTGGTGGCTTCAGCAGATTACATTCATGTTACTCTGATCTGTTACCACAGACTTAATATTCGTCCTTAAATTTGCAGGAAGTTATGATGTGCATTTTTTTTTTTCTTTGTTTTGTCCTTAAAGATACATGTGCAAGTGCTGCTGCCTTTCTAGTCACAAGGAGGGCATAATGGCTCTATGCTTTTTGCTGGGAGTATCTCCTCAGCTATTAGGCCAGCTGGCCTGTCATCTCTTCAAAACCACTAGTAAAATTCTCATCTATTGCAAATGGTTCATATTTTGCTCTTTTTGTGAAGTTCTGTTAGTGACGTTTTTTTCCTTGCCTCTTTGTGTAGATCTAAGCGTGATAGTTAAAAAAAAACCACACTGTAAACAAGATCTCTTTGTTTTGAGGGACAGTAGTGTGTTTTTACTGGCACTCCAGTATTGCAGCAGTCTGTGTATCGTGAAGTTGTACATCTCACTGACTGCGGGATTTATTTTCTAATTCTGGCAATATTTTAATGGAAGTAGGTCTTGGGAATTTTTTTTGTTTGTTTGTTTTTTTGTTTGTTTGTTTTGTTTAAGCTTAAGTAGAGAGGTACATGACTTTTTCTCAAAAGGCAAGAATTACTGTACTCTGCTAAATTGGGTGAATTTGCACCCACTGTTTTTAACAAAAGTGAATGGGAGATGTGACAAATAAAAGTATGTACCACGCATGAAGTTTCGGCTTGCTTTAGAATTGTGTGAGTTCATAATGTGTTCTGTGCCTTGCTTAATAAAGATTGTAGCCCTTAAATACTCTGAGGAATAGGCTACATTCAGAAGACTTTTTTTTAAAAAGTGTGTGTCCTTGCTATCAAAATAATCAGACCAGTGAAATAATGGTGGTGACTGGGCTCTGTAAAAATGCAGCTATCAGTGACTACCATATTTTTCTGTACTAGTCAGAGTAGGTAGATACTAGTTTAGAGTAAGAAAAGTTCTGAGGCAGCCTTTGAAGGGATCAAGATAGAACTGAGGTGATTCTGAAGTGTAATGTGTACAACATTCTTCTTGAAGTTCTGAAAAAAACTTAGAGTCTTCTTACACACTGTAAACAGTAGCTGTATGTAGTCTTTTGATTGTCAGAGTGTAGATTCTCATTAAGGCTTCACTAGAAGAAAATACAGTTTGAGTACAGTATTTGTAGATTCTGTTGTCTAGTGACTGCATTTTTACTTTTGTCTTGGGAAGGTCTGAGGAAGCCAGGGCACTTTAACTTTCTGCTTTTGCAGACAGCCATATCCTGTCTTGAACTACAGGATCCAGGATGTTATCCTCAGTCCTTTGTTCTTAGCATCCTTATGAGTCAATATTGACTGTCCATGGTACGAGCTGTCTGGGAGGGTTGGTGTTTATACACCTGATCACAATTGTGAATAGTGAGGTGCTTGTACCTTCTGAGCAAGTTTACAACAACTTGTTTTGTTCTTACGGGCTTTCTTGCAGTAGGAGCAGTCAGCAACACTGCTATTCTAATGACAGTGAATTTAACCTCTCCAGAAATACTGTCTTGAACTTAAGTTTTTCTTTCTCAGGGATTTAAGGAAGTTTAAAAGTTTTGGGAAAATAGTTGAATTTTAATGCCAGGATCATCTTAATTAAAAACAAATAAGCATCCAACTTTTAGAGCTTGAAAGCTTCCGTAAAAACTTCTGTTAGCAGTTAAAGCATTTCTCTCTGTAAGCTAACTGCTGTATATGAGATTCAAGCTTCTGACATCTCAAATTTTATTTCTTAAATTTTGTCTAAATCTTAACCATGTTCCCAGATGCTCTTCAGAAAGTGTGTGTGTGTGTAATTCCAACTTCTGCCCTTAGTAGCCACAGGTATTTGCTAACAGCAGTTTTGAATTACCAGAAATTAATGCTGTACAACCAAAGGAAGCTATTTCACTGTCTCCCAATTTAGGAAATTATGTAACACTTTGAGATAAAGGTGTCATGCAGAGCTTTTTTTCTTCTTTTTTCGTTGAGTTACTTGAATATATGTTACTTGCACTGAATTCTTTAGCTTATTTCCCATAAATTTTAGTGGAAGAAAATACATTTTGTTCTTTCATTTGTAAAGTCTAGAATAAGAAAACACACTTTATGAGACTGTTTAATGAAGGAACCTGGCAATGTAAGTATTGTAATTTTTTTTATGTTTGTGGTAGGCACCAAGATTACCTTGTTAAACTTCTGGCTTATGTATGAAACATATCAGAAAAGTAAGGGCAAATTGAAAGAAGTTTTATAGTTGCCTTTACTTCATATGGTCGTCTTAAGCAACAAACTGCGGTAATTGAAGTTCGGCAGCTTTTTTAATGAAAAACTAAATTATGGGTTGAACTCCTTGGTTTAATGCAATTTGTGTTTCTGTTAACTAGCAGCAGAATTTCAGCATTTGCTACTTACTGGTAGAGAAGAAAAATTCCACAGCACTGCCAGTACAGGTTAGTTTAATCTGTAAGTACCTGATGTTCCTATTTGAAATAATTTGTTCAAATGATACCACTTAAATACATGAGGGGGATTTTGGTCTCTGAAATGTGAATGTATCTGTTATCTACTACTGTTTTCAGTAGTGAGTGAACATCTAGACTTTTTTTTTTTTTTTTGAAGATCTGTAAGGGTTTTAACTACACTTGTGGGTAGGTAATATCTGCAAGCACTTTTAAGAAAAATTTAGTACAAATAGCCATCAGTGTTACTGTAAAGTGTTGAAGTCACTTCAGTAACATGACTATTATAAAGGAGGCTGTTTTATCCGTGAACCAATTATAGGATAAAGTATTTGTTGTGTTGGGGAATAAGCATTTCTGTTTATAAGAATCTATAGCAGTAATGTAATTTTTCTTTCTGTTTTCTTTAGCTATGGCTAATTACTGTCTCCTACCAACAAATTTTTACTCTGTTAGGCCTGTAAGCCAGGAGCTTGTTCCCCTCAGGACTTTTTTTGTTGTTAGCCCATTTCAGCACTTCAGAGGCTACCTACAAATGTGGTTTTGCCCAGCTGTTTTATCTTACTCCAGAGTTACTGCTCTGCCTCTCTTCTTTTTTTCTTCTGCTTTATTCCGTACTTCTGGAAACTTTGACATTTTATTTTTATTTTATAGAACACTTTACACCTTAAAAGAAAATAGGAGAGATTCTTTGTGATTGGATAAAAGATGCAACCTTCTCCAGAATAGCTGTATACATTTATTTTTATTTAAGTTTTGTGTACCTCATCTCTTCATACTAGCATGGGAGATGAAAACTGTGCTGTAGTACATAACACTCTCACAGCTGGACGAGCTATAAAACCTCATGCTTTAATTCACATCTCAAGAGCATGTTATCACACAGTGATTTTGAGGGGCTTTTGACATCGTTGGTGAATAATTATATGGAAATTAGGTATTGGGAAGTTCATATACTAGTGTGGTAGCTGAACAGACACTTCAGTTTTGCCAGCTGATCTGAGTGGTCTAGAGTAGTTTCATGAGTGACTTGAAACTTCCCAGCAGTATTGTTTATTTTAGAATTTTGAAATCTTAGGTGACACTGCAGAATTCATAATGCTAACATAATAAGTTTCAAGGAGATTGTATCTTCCCAGGTTTTAGAATAGCTGCACTTGAAGCCCATCTCCTGTCATCCTCTCTCTACACCAGTTCTCAGTCAGTCACACTAAATTGTTTTGTCTGCAAAACTAGCTATGTGCGAATTTTTGAGTAATGTTGTGTAGATGTTTCTCCATAGAAGAAAAAAAGTTGTACAATAAAATTTATAACTAATCTTTACCTAGACTTCTTAAATCTTAATGGCAGATGTGCATGAATAATAGGGATACCTTGCTGTAAGGCCATTATCCCATTAACAGAATATATGCATCTTAATTTCTGTGGTTGACCCTTGTTGGTACTTCATGCATCGCTCAGTAATAAGTCAGAATGAGTAACTGGTTGCTTTTGGCTGCTGAATTACTTTGTGAAGTTGCAGTTTTGACAGTGGTTGGATGCTGACCTGTGCTACTCGTACGCCAGCTTGGCAGTCAGTGGGAATAACTAAAGGGTAGTGATGTTCTCCAGTGTCTTATCAAAAAAAGGTATATTTGTCCAGGGTGGATCCTAATACGAACTCTGGCAGAATGTCATCTTGTTGTGAAACTTTCCATGGCAATTTATTACAGTACTTTATGGTAGAATTTGTCTTCTTTTGAGATGGGACCAAAACAATACTAGGAATCTGAGCTTTTATAATCAGGCGAGCAATCTTAAGTTGTAGCTTAACTTCTGATAAACCATTACAGCAGCTGTCCAGTCTAATGTGGTTTGGAAGTCTTTCTTCCCAGTTCTGATATGGTATATATGGAACAGTGAGTCATTTTGCACTATTTCCTTTGGACTTCTGCTTAATTACTCTGAATCACCCCTTCAGAGATTCTGGTTACTATGCAGCAAACCCAGACTACAAACTGGTTTTAGTACCTTCTTAAAGTACCTTAAAGCACATGATTGAATTATTTCCCCTCTCAGTAGCAGTACAGCTGCAGAAGTTAGTGTGTCATGACGGTTTCTTCTGTGACTTGGTGCTGCGTTTCTGTAAGTAGTATGAAAGGCATGGGATCATTGACTTTTTTCAAAAGACAGGTGGCAAAATATTGATGTTGAATTTAATTCAAGAAAGTGAGAGACCGGTAAGTATGTGCATCACTTTAATGCATGCAAATAATAGTAACTAGCTTAATTTTATAGCATTCAGTTAACAAAGAAGAATCAAAGAAAATACGAATCTAACATAATTTGCATCCATTGGGAACCTTCTCTGAACTGTATGCTTCGGGAATGGATCACTGCACATATACACGCTGTACTGTGTGTCTACCACTTTGTCTCTGATTAAACAGAAGTGAACCACTGTTTCTGTGTATTTTTTTTCTCCTCCTGATGAGCTATTTAAATTATGATTGCAATGAATGTTAGCTGTTCCAAAGTGTAAGTACAAAATCTACTTTCACTTATGTGAAGATTTCAATAACTTTGTACTAGCTCTCTGACTGTCTATAAACTGCAAAAACTTGTTCATGTGAGCTTTATCTTAGTGTTTTATACATGGAGACAGGCAAATGAATCTCACCTTCTTAACCTGTAGCTTCCTTTTGCTGCTGGTCTGCTGTCCTGCTGAACTGACTACAAAAAATTTGACTTAAGTTGGAAGAGCCATGGGGAATACAGAAGAAAAGTATCTAATCAGCATTTTCATAAAACCTGGTAGAGAGGGCATGCTGTTAAGTGGTCTGTTCTAAACCCTTCTAGAGCAAAACACTGAAGAGAGGAGGTAGCTTCGAAGATGTGTGTCCTTGCAACTCCTCTACAGGACAAGAATGGATCACTCTGCTAGGCCTGCTGGTCTCATTTAGCTACCACTGTTTACTCAGATGAATTTCTGAGAGGTGGTAAAAGGAAGATAAATCCATTATTTGGAGCAATTCATGGCATTTTGAGTTGTATATGTGTAATAAGGAGGAGCTTAATACTAGGTAGAGGACTGTTTAGGGAAGATTGTTACATTGCATGAGCTCTTTACAGGAGTTAAAATCCTCTGGCCCTTTTGGCTCTAGGGAAATCTGACAGGGCATTTGAAAAACAGGGAAACTGCTTTGTCTTGAAAGCTGGCTAGAGCAAGGGTATTTGTGTGTTTCCTGGCTGGTTAAAGCACTCCCAGGTTTGATTTATCAGACTCTTGGGGAATATGACTGGGTAAAGAGTAAGAAGGATGGGTCTGTACTTTCTGCCCTCAGCCGAGCCTCAGCAGCTTGGTTTTTTTGCAGGGCACAGGGAGAGGATTGTGTTTATAATACCCTGATGAGGTGAAGAGTTTGGATCTAAGCCCTTAGTGTCTAAGAGGTAGAAATGGGTGTATGTGAAAAGCAAGACCCCTACTTGGGCCTCAGAGGAAAGACTCGAGAGCCTGCAGTGGTGCAGGCTGCAGGGCAGAGGATAGCCATCTACAGTATTGAGTCGAGTGCCTGCAGGCCTGAAGGAAACAACTTGTCTGGCTTTAATTTTCCATCATGGTAATAGTTCCTTTTTGAAAATAAAAGCTCTGCTTTTGCCACAGCATTTGAGGAGGTCGGATAAACTGTTAAGGAGTTAATGCTTTCTTTTAGCTCCCATGCCTTTCAGTAAATTTGCATATCCTATTTCTGTGCTGGGTTGAAGCCCTCTTTATGCTACGTCCTGCCCCCCCAGCTCTCTGTATGGAAGGGGACTGGGGGACATTTGCTAGTACTGCAGCACCTCTCGCTTTTGGCAGTTGAGATGCTGTCATGGTGTGCTCCTCCAGTGCGCCTTCCTAGTTCATCCTGGGGGAAGCTGTCTTTGATGTGCTTAACCCTTAAGCATTTAACCCAGGTGAAATCTGCCAGCCTGGGTTGCCCAAGCAAGAAGTACAGGCCTCCAAGAGTCTGCTGCTGTGTCTCCCAGGCTGAAGGCAAGGGAAGGAGACAAGTACTGCCTGGCCAGCGGTCACAGGCTTTGTTTCTGCTTCTGAGGCTGGAAGGTGAAGGCTTAGACTGGATAGGATGAAACCAAAGATTGTTTTGTTTGTTCTGAATTCACAGTGGCTTCCAATTCCTTTTACAGTTTTTGGCTGTGCTGAGATCTTGGCCAAAGATGGAAAAGCAGGTCATACCTTGATACTTTCAGAACTACATCTTCAGGTAGGGTAATTAAATGCATGTAGAAATCATAAGTAATTCTTCTTAAAGGTTGTTTATTGGGTTGAAACTTAAGATTCTGGGAATTTTAGTGACAATAGTGGTATCAAACAATGTGAAACTTAAGAATATCAGGTGGCTTTATTGTTAGAAGCTTAATGTGACATGATGGTTGCAAACACAGTGCTGACAACAAGCTCCTTTGCATTTTTCATATTAGTAAATCAGGCTAGACAGTTTTCAAGCGTTGGATATATGCAGTAGGCAAATTTTAGTCATATACTGTGTGGACATTTCTTGGATAATGCAAAAACATTTTGCTAAGTGCAGGAATTGTTTGGACTATGAAATAACAGCATTTACAAATAATCTTTTGTCATCAATGTCTTTACTCACATGTCTGCACCCCTCCCCAGATACAGATACACCTAATATGGTTTGTAATATTTACATGGAAAAGCAACATAAGAGTGATGTGAAGTTTGAGACGTGTTTTTTATCAATCCTGATGTTTGCAAAGTCATCTTAAAAAATGCTTAAGTTTCCCTGTGTGCTTCTGTACTGGATACTGGCTTGAAGCTGATAGGTAGATGTATTTCATACATGGTACATGTTAGTGAGCGAAGTATGTTACAGCCAGTGTAGTATATTTGTTGTAAGTTCACTTAAACATTTTGTTGCTAATTCAGGCAGAATAAAAAGCATACAGTTACAATGTGCAAATTCTGTTATTGATCAGGACCACCCAGAAATTATTTTTAAATCCTAATCTGTAAACTGAGAAGGAAATGATCCCTGCTATACCTGTTTATTCAAGAGCTCAGTTCTGCAAATAGTGGGAGGGAGGAGAAATAGTGGGTCTCTTCACTCCCTACTTCCCAGGTCATCAAGCAAGTATTATAATTATTGCTGTCTTAAGTTTGAAATCTTGATTTGGGTGACTCCTAAACGATCATAGGCTTCTGTTTCAAGGTGTATTTTACTAGTAGGTTTAAAATTTTTTTAGACATTTGGTCGTTATTGTAGTAAAGCGTGGTTTTCGTACTACCTGGTGTTCAGCCAGTGCACTTTCTGTTTTAAATGTGACAAAGGACACTTTCGGTGCTGTATCTTCTGAAAAGCACAGCAGGTACTGTTAATGTACTAAATACCTTAGGTTCTGCTGACAGTTGGATTATTTTCAACCTCAATATTGAATGCAACAAGACCATTAAAAGAAAAGCCTAAATAAAAGGTCACATTTTCATTTCCAGGGGGTACTGAATCACGATGGAGTGGCAAGATAGGAAATGCCTTTGTGTGACCACGTATAAATAAATTTCTGTCCGTGGTCCAGCCAGAAACTCTTTTGAGAATGTCACGAATCTTGGCAATATTCCATACAGTTCCATGTAGCCACTTCATTCTCCTCTCGTTTAAGGACCCGCTAATTAATTTATCAATTTTAGTTTTGTGCACAATCTTACCTAAGCCATAACCCTTTCCCAGAAAAAAGTGGGTGTAGATTCTTTTCTTTCTGGTAGGAACATCTTTCATCTTGATGTCATATAAACGTTTCAGGGTTTGAAGGGCTGAGTTTAGAATTTCATCTTTCTCTGGATGAGGCTCTCTGTCTAATGCCTCATCTGGCCAGTACAGCAAGGTGAGCAAAAAATGGGCACTTGCTGGAAATGTTTTTTTTGCTTTAAAGAATCTTGCACTGAGCTCCCGAAGAGTTTGCGCTGGAAGAAGTTTGGCTGATCCTGGTGCTAAGCATGCTAATGTGATGTGACACAAAATATAATTGATCAGATCGTTGTCCTCTAGCCTGTCCTTTAGTGGGTTTTCTGTATAGAAACTAAGGATCTCTTCTAGCTTTTCAGCTGACCTATTCTCTTTCTTATCTGTTAAGAATGACAAGATAGTAGTGACGCTACCTCCACCACTCTTATAAATATTCATGCGTCTAATCAGCTGGCTCTCAGGGCCACTGTTGCTGTCCTTAATAAGGGATGTTGAGATGAAGAATTTAGCATATACCTCAGTCTGTCTTTTTAGCCATTTTCTGGGATTGTAAATTTGTTCTTCCTTGTCATCTTTTTCATCTTCCTCTTCCTTCTCCTGGTTTTTATCTGTTTGGAAATAGCTTAGGTCTTCTGAAATCCATTCCAGAGCATTATACAAGTTCTGGCGTAAGCCTTTTAAGCGGGAGTGAAGCCTTCCCCATGGTTTTTCAACATCTTTAGGAATGTAATCTGTGATCAGGTATTTCACAAGCTCACAATATTCCCTGTTTGGGCTTCTGTGAAATACATGGAGTGTGGATAAAAATCTAAGAAGACGACATCCTACTTCTACCTCTCCAAAATAGCCAGCATTGTTCATACTGTCACATTCTGCTTTTGCAGCCTGTTGCGCAGCCCTGAAGCATTTCATAGCTTTAAGAGCCATCTCTATCTTTTGAATGATAGTTTCAGGAGTGTCCTCCTGTGTCATTTTATCCACAGTGAAACTAAACCATTTCCTGTAGACTTGACCTTCTGTATCTAAAATATAAGAATCGTTTGGCAAATGAAATTTTGCAACCCCTGCCCAATATTCTGCATCTTTGAATTTTTCATTGTTGTAATGCAGCCTGGCAAGCTGCTGGGCAAAAAAAGGATCTTTTCCAAGGAGTTCATATGCAGCTTTTAAAATAGCTATAGCTTTTTCACAGTCTTCAGCTTCACAGATGTGTTCAATGAATGGGGAAAAGAGAGTGTCAGTATTGTCACCCTTGCTTCTTTTATCACGTCGAATAAACAGATCTCTGATAAACTTTATGAATTCCTCTCGTCCAAATCTGTTTTCAAAGAGCGTCTTTTCCTGAAGAAGTGTCATTGCAAGTTGACTTTGAGGTTCGTTCCCTGAAAGCTGATTCAGAATTTCTTTTGCAACCAGACAGTGTATTATCCGAACAGAAGAAATATAGGTGGTACTTTCCCTTAGCTCAATAAAAATCATTCTTGCTTGTTCACTCAGGTTGCTTTTGAAATCATATGCTCTTGATTTCCTTTCTGTATATACCCCCAGTCCCAGAAAAGCCTCACAGTGTGACAGTGAAACATATGAATTAGGTACATAAAAATTAAGCAAAGCCACGTAACGCATCAAGCATGTATCACGAGAAGAATGATCTATGCCTTGCAGTATGTGCCCTACAAAGTCTCTCACATACGCTTCATTGAACTCCTCACACATCAGGACAAATGTAAGTATGAATTCTGGCTTAACATCTTTCTGCTTCAGTTTTTCAAGTTTGGTTCTGAACAGACTTTTCTCTGAGTCCGTCAGCTTGTGAGTGACAGCAACTGTGTCTAGTGGAGAAGCCTTGCAAAGCCTTTCAGGGTCATTGGATCGCCTACAGCACATGAGGATAAAGTAAGGTCTTGGGGAATTAATTTTCCTAGTTGCTACAGCATCCATTAACTCATACCTTAGTTCTTCTAAATAGTCTTCATCATAATCTTCGATCAGGAGGAGCACAGGAAGACAGTGACCGATTTCTTTTTCTTCATAATCTCTAAATGCGAGTGCATGCTCACAAACAGTTGCAGGTGAATATGAGGATTTGATAACAGCACATCTTAAGTCTTTTCTTCTTCTCCATAGAACTTGCCGTGCTATTGTGCTTCCACCACTTCCAGGATGGTGAAATATCTTCAGTTTTGCCACAGAATAGTTGAGTCCACTTCCTCGTAAAATGTCATCTAGGAGTTTGCTAGCATCCTTACACGCCTCCCGTTCAATGATTTCCCCACAGCGTCTTTCATCAGCAAGCCAGAAGTTTTCCCAGATGATTTTTCTCCCTCGGTAAAAATTTTGTTCTATTTCTTGTATTTCTTTTTCAGTCAAAAGATCTAATTTGATATCATCACATTGGTCAACACAAAGGATTTCTAGGGAAAACAGTTTCTCTTCTTCCAGCAAGGGAAGTGTACATAGCCCTCTCGTGGAAACTGGCAGATGTCTGGGTTGTGCCGTAGAAGGCAGCATTGTTTGAATGGTGGCATCTATGTGACTTAGTTTCATACCCACAATACTGCATTGTTCCAGTGTCTCAATGCTGCAGGATGCCTGAGCTAGATTAGCCCACTTCCCATAATTTTCTCTGGACTCTGCAATGCAAACAATGTACTCAGTGCCGTTCATCTCTGTATAGAATTCCTGAAAAGTGTCCACAAGTTGTTTCTGCACTGGTGATAGCAATAGGAAAAGCACAATGAAAGACCGCTTCGGCAGGATTTCATCACAGATACGAGTAATTGCTTTCTTAAGGTATTTTTTTTTTGTTCTAATCCATGTATTTTCATCACAAGGTTTTTCATCCCCGAGGAAGTCATTGCGCCCATTGCAGAATATCCAGCTGGTCTGATCAAACAGGCACAAATGTTTCTGAGAAGGAGGGTTGCCAGTCTTGCTTTCATTGGAAAAATCCTGTAAAAAATAAGACCTTGTTGCATGGTGTTCTTTGTACTTGCTGTACAGTCCTGACACATTGGAATCTTCATCAAAGTCAAAGACGCAGAAGATGTTCAAGTGCATTAAAAAGTTGATGTAGTTCAGATTATCCTTTTCACATCGGTTTGTGACAAGGATGTACCGTAGAGAATCATCCATGTAGCTTTTGCCATCATTTAGTAGAATTGACAACTTTCTTCCTAAATTTTGAGGTATTTCTGCATGTACTTCTCTGCTGGAGAGCTCAGCTTTTTCTCTTTGAGCATCCCTGTCTTGTAAACCCTGAATAAAAGTAGCTAGATTGTTGTGCTTTACAGGTTCAGACTTTGCTCCTAGTCTCTGATAGAGAGCTCGATCCTTTGTCAGGATCACCTTCTGGCTGTCTTCATTGTATTTTGGCAAACACACTTCAAAAAATTTGTTCTTTACTAAACAGGATGTTGGTTCAATGTCAACCTCCACCACAAATCTTTGTTCCTGAGAGTCTTTTGAAATCACTTCGACAAAAATGGGTGGATGAATGCATTTCCTTGCAATTTCTTGTACGTTTTCACAAAAGCATTTTTCTATATAATCTAGTGCATCAACGTACTGTTCTCGCTCTTTGACCTTTATGCCAACAATCTGTCCATGTTTCCAACCCATATCCTCAACGCTGTCCATGATACCAAAATGTATGGTGCCGTTTGTTCGAATATTCATGCAGGCTGAAGCAAATCGTATCACTTCACAGGCAAATTTTGATTGCAGTTGATTTTTGTTCAGTTCTGCAGCAGTGGCAAATGATTTGTATTCATGGCAAGGAGTGATTAAATCACTGACCCCTGATTCTGGAGCAAGAACTTTGTCTTTCACATATTTGAAATCAGTATTCTGACTTCTAAATGGTCGACAGTTGCTGAGCTCCAAAACTTCACCGGTACTTTTAAGTTGGGATTTGTTACTTCTCCTTTGCCTCTTGCCAGAAGTAGAAGCTGTGTTGTCTCTGCTAGTTTTACCTACTGGATCACAGCTGTCTGCACTTGAAGTTTCCTGGGCAGGGGCATTTCTGGGTCTTACTGAACCTGTTTGTGCATCAGTTCTGTCAGACGTTTTGCTGCTGGAATGCTTGGCTTGCTGTGCATTTTCCTGTAGCTGCAGAAGTTCATTTCTCTTGCAGATTAACATGTGGATTTGGCCTCCCTTCATACCTATGCCTCTGAGGAAAGAGTCATTCAGTGCCATTAGCGCTGGACCTGTCACTTCTTCTGCATATAGTTTTTCTACATACTCTTTTTTTATTCCAGTAGATTCTAGCCAATGCTGGACATGGTTCTCATCCCACTTATTCACAGGTAACATTCTGTAATCTAGAATTTAAAAATTATGTATTAGTAATATAAACTAAGAATGTCAATGTGCTTGACAAAGTATTATAATCCTTGCAAAACTGGCCACATTGAGTGCTAGATTGTTTTTCTACCAGTCACAGTAAGAGACTGTCTTAACTTCTCAAATATATCAGTTCTGATGACAAAAGTATCCTTCATGTTTGTCAAAAGCAGCTCTAAGCAATGGTAATAAATCAGTTAAGCAGGAAACCATGAAGGAGGTCTGGAAATGGTCTTCAAAGGGAGTCATAGAAATAACCCAAAATGTTTTTTGAAGGGAATGATGTGATAAGGCTGTTGGAACTGACAGGGGCTGGACTCTCTAAATTACAGAGGTTTGGGTAGATCATTTACTCACTTGAGACTTTATTTTCTGCTAAATGAAGATAACGTCAATACAAACCACAAGATGATGTTAAGAGTAATTATTAGTTTCCTTACTAGAGATTAACCCATAAACTGCAGATACTAAAAAGCAAACTGCTACATATGAAGTACACATTTGCTGAAAGCAACACATACCCATTGCCTTTTGATGACGGAAATCTTGCTGCTAAGGAGAAAAAAAAACCTAGAGGGGGGAAAAAAAAAACCCTCTTCAGATTTACAGTTAATGTTTCTGTGTTAAAGGAGACTGACTTGTTCTGTTTTCCCAACCCCTCCCCACCTTTTCGGTCCAAGGTAGCTTCTGTATCTCTGAAAGCCTGGTTGTGCCAGCTACCCCGCTTCTGTACGGCGTGAAAGCAGCTCCTCTGCTTTCGGCGTGTGGGTGTGAAGGAGACAGGGCTTTGCTAGAGAAGCGTGTGCTGGGAGCTGTGTCCATCTAACTGCTGTTTCTGTTAGACACTGGAACCCAGGGAGGCTCAAGGCTACTGTATCCCCCTGGGTTGCATAGTATCACATGCGCTTAATTGCTTTTTCTCACTCTCCCTTTCCCTGCCTCTTGTTCCTTCACACTCCCTCTTAATTACCTTTTTTTTTTTTTTTTTTTTTTTTTTTTTTTTGGTGGATACTCTCTCCCTCTCTTTTTTCCCACATCTGTTTTAGCACTCACTGGATTTTCCATGAAGCAGTTCAGCTCCCTGCCCAACTCAACAGTAGATTTTCTTTTTAAAGGGCTGTCCTGGACTGATACATGACTTGTTCTGCCTTGCTCCTGCTCCATGGAGCAGGGATAGCTGGTTCTGTACTGCAGGAGGAAACACATTAAGCCTGCCTGGTGTAACACCAGAAAGGTAGCATAGACTCACACAGTCAACTAACCATCCCTCAGCTGGGGCCTAGTCAGCCAGGGGCACGGGGAAAGGGCCCGGGGCGGGAGGGAAGTTTCTCTTACTGCAGGTGAAAGCTCAGCTGTGTGCTGGTTCAGCAGGTGTCCATCCCTGCACCTCGTGGTGGTACAACAGCAACACTCAGCCTCTGAGTTCACTGGTGAAAGGAGCAGTCGCCAGCGTGAAAGGCAGCTGTGGGGCTCTGTGCAAGGTCCCTGCAAGGTCTGAAAGTACAGAGGTTGTAACTGAGGGAAGTGGAGGAGTGTGTGCTCCCCAGGATCGCGGCTTGGCAAGAGGTGGGTTCAGCAAGGTGGTGGTTTGGGGAGGTACTGGGTATGGGAGAATAGGGGGTGCTAGAAAAAATTATGTGGAGCAAGTGCATATTTAGCATTTAAGCACCTGGGCAGCTCTGTAGGAAGCTTGTGGGCTGGCTGAGGTGCCAGCAGGGCCAGTTGCTTTGGCTCTGGGGGGAGCCTGGTACAGGGTTGCTCTGCTGGGCCAGGGTGTGAGCAGATGCCCCGGAGTAAGTGTAAGCGTGCTGGTTATGAACATGGTTGGAGACTGACACCTCTTGCAGCCTGCCCTGAGAAATGGGGCTAAAAATGTCCCTGAAATACCAGCCTTGCAGTGCCTTTGGCCGTGATGGCGCCTCCCAGGGCTGTGCTTGGGCAGTGACGTGGCTTGTGGGAAACCAGCCCCTTCCTCTGCGCTCTGTCTGCCTGGCCCTGCTGTGACAGCCGATGACAGCGTTTCTCGAGAAAACGAAACTTTGCAGGGAATAGAAACTAGAAGGGAGGCCTGGCAAGGGGTGGGCAGAGCTGGCGAATCCAGGGCCTCCCACCCACTTTGTGAGGCCTGTGAGCAATCCCGGGGGGCCTGGGGGTACCAGCCAGCCTGGGCATGGAGCCATGGGGGGGTGGGGGCAGAGCTCTTCTCCCAGTGGGATGAGGAGGGGGCAGAGCTGGGCAATCCTCCCTTTTCTTAGGCCTGGTACCAGCAATGTTCCCTGCCGCGCTGAGCGTACCCCCCGTCCCCGCAGGAGCCGCCGGGTGCAGGCGGGAGCAGGAGGGAGCTTACCTGGCAGAGCCTGCGGGCGCCGGGGGCTCCGGGGCTGCGTGGCCCGTCAGGCGCTGCCGGGAGCCGTGGGCTGCTGCGGTGCCGGCTCTGCCAGCCCGCGGGTGCTCCCGCAGCCCGCTGGCGTGGCTCCTCGCTGGTCCCACGGGTACCCGGCGGAACAAGGGGAACAGCTTGAGACAAAACCACCGGTGATGCCGTGTTTCCGCCTCCTTCGCGGCAGCGCTGCTGCGGGAGGTGTGGCCCTTGCCTCTGCCCCGAAACAGGGTATGGGCCAGGCTGCTGGGGCAGGGCGGGTAGGTGTTTTTTTTTTTAAAAACAACTAGGCTGCTGTTTTAAACTTCCCGTAAGTCACATGGTTATATATCATTTAAGTCACACACACACTCACACACACAAAAACACTACAAGTATCTCTGTACTGCACAGCGGTAAATTTTTGCAGCATGCATTCCAGCCATTTCTGTCATAACTGGTCATGTGTCTCAGACCCCAGGATGTAGGTGGCTGGTGCCAGGGGACTGCTAGAGTAACAAAACGGGGCTCCCTCCGCCTTCAGGGTGTCTCCATGCTCGCCCCCCTCCACCCAGGACCTGTTTGTGTTTCCCGCACCAGCCCGACCCCTGACTGGTGCCAGCTGGTGGCTTCGCTCTGGGGCGGCAGGAGGTGGCTGCCTTCACCCTCTGCCCCAGCCCTGCCCTCTTGGGTCACGCACGGCAGCAGTCCAGCTTATTTCCCCAGGCACACATCGTCACTAAAGTTGTGGGGTTGTTTTAAATCTGAGTAAAAGTCTTTATTTAGTAGACTTATAAAACAACTTTACATGAAAAGTACAAAAATACGAAATAGGCTTTGCATCTTTGTAGATAAAACTACCTTTCCCCCACCCCCCCAAGCTTTAGAAGCAGGTAACTTGCACAGTTGGCATCTTAGGTAAATTGCTCTCATACACTGTAAAACTAGGAAAAAATCTTCCCAGAACACAGCTCCAGAAAAGAAGCTGTAGGTACCCAATCATACACATCACTGTCCATAATTTATTAGTTTAAGACACAAGGGCACAGTCATACAAATTCCCACTTTGAAATTTCTCCTTTCATTCCTTTGAAAGATGCAGTATCACTTTTCCAGTTGTTATGATTAAATATAAGCACAAAACCGATTAAGAATGATTTGGCATGCTTTATACTTGTACCACTTGGATTTGATACCACTTTGTAGTAAAAATTAAATAAATATAAATATGTTAAATAAATATATTGTAAAAGAACACCCCGGTTGTATCATATTAAAATTCAGCATTTCTTCATCCTTTGCACACACTTAATGCTTTGTCACAGCTTTAGGGCCAATGAAAAGCAGTACTGCATCTTTAAAAACATCGGCTCACTCAGATGTGATCAGCGACTCCTACAAACAGAAAAGGGGGCTCCTTTACAGTTTTATCGCACCCACTGAAAACACTGCCTATAATTTCACTGTTCTGTACATCTCTCATTGTTTCCAGTTTAGCTCCTTTTCCCCAGGACTCCGCTTACCTCTGGCTCTGCCACTGGCGACCCTTCTTTAGAAGAAGTAAGGAACACTTGCCGTAGATAAAGGATTAGCCTCTCCCGAGCAGCTCACAGCTGCCATCAGTGTATTTTTCTGAAGTTAACGTGTGTAGATCTATTCTGATACCGTGGTTTAAATCAAGGACTCTTCAAGCTCTTCTGTGAATACTGGTTGATATTTAAACAATGAGGCTTATTTTCAAAGTAGGTAAATCTTTAACTGATTTTTCAAGTCAGTATTTTTTAAACTTCGTTGTATCTGCTCAAGTATAAGCAACTAACTTTCCAGGGTAGTACTGATTAAACAGAAATTGTACTCTCTTCACTATTTTTCCAATAATTGTAAATGATTCTCTTTACAAATCACTGTAATGTGCCTAATGCATAATGTGGCAGTAGTGCAATGGCAGGTTCTGATGATTTGCTATAACTAGAAGGCTCCTTTTGCAGATCCCAGTCCCTAGTAGTTAGATGATTTCAATCACTGTATTTTGATTCTTCATAGTAAAACACATCAGTTAGTTATAAAATCACATACAGTACAGGGATATTGGGTGACGGTTATATCCATCTTTTGCTGTCCATTCTCACCATCTTGAAAGCTTGGAATAACTCCATCACCAGGGTTCATTGCTTTTCTGAGGTTACCACTCGCTCCTTGGGCTCCTACCATCTCCTGATCCAGCGCAGGCAGAGGTACAAGGCACTTCTTGGAAGCTCGGTTTCATCAAAGAGAGGCAATTCAGCTCTTTGATCCCACTTTTCCCTGCCAAAGGTAGGCCTGTTTCACAGCCCTGTGCTTGGAATGTTGGTCCCAGAGAAGAAAGCTCCATCCTCTCAAACAGCGTCTCCTGCAACGCTCAGCTCTGCAGAGTCCTGATGATAGTAATGCTGAAACAGTCTTTCTTGGCAGCAGATATGCATAGCTTTGTAGGTATGTAGGAGCAGGTGAGGGAAACGAGCTGTAAAGTAACATACAAAATCATCTGGGATAGAGCCCAGGGTCTCCTGCACTTCGGGAGGCAGTTCTCTGTAATGGTGCTTCTGCGAAGGAAAAAAGAATACGGAAAAGCTCAGTCAGAGGGAATGTGTTCAAGGATCCTCTTTTAAATAGAGCTGACTGTCCAAGGTGCATTTTCACAGACAAAGTAACCTCATATTAGTCTATCACAAAGAACCTTGGTACCTCAAACAAGGTAAGACAGACAGACTGGCAACAAACAGCCAAAGGAGGCAGACCCAGAGCGTGTGTGGGGTAGCAATTCAGTCCTTTACCTTATTTCTCATTGCCCTTAGGAGATCCCGCACTGAGCCTCCTTTATAGGATCTGAATTTTCGAAGATCTGCAAAAGAAATTGCAAGTTTTCTTTTTGTGTTTTGATGCAGTTTTAGGTGCTGGCCTCAAAAGTAAGGTATGTGTGCCTGCAATCACGTACCCTTACAGGTGTGTTTCGATATATAAACATACTTTAATTTGAAGAAGTATTTTGAGAAGTGAAGGTCATGTGCCAAAACTGAGACAGCGTTCTCTTCCCCTTCCTGTCTTGGCAAACTGGGAACAGCAGCACGTAACTCCTTCCCACTTTGATAAAATAGTAGCCATTACCTGTCTGAAGAGGAACAGTGATGTGCTCTCTCCAGTCCATTTTCACCACTTCTCTTCCACCTCTTTCTAATTGCTTCACTATTGCACCATCTAAAGATTCTTTCTCTATCCGGTCACTAACATCCTGCAAGAGACATTCAGGTTATTTCTAGTTTTATTTCCAAGCTTTTCCCAACTATTTAAAATTGCTGCTTCTAGCCAATTACAGCCTGCCCTGACAATGGAGTTATGATTCTACTTAACTCCGTGACAAGGTGCAATACAATGGATTATGCTCGGGACTGGGCTATAGGTGTTTCTGACATGCTGAGCTGTTTCACCATCTGCCAAAGCCTTTTTATCAGAGCAGAAGATAAAGCTGGAAGGAAGCTCAGGTGCTCAGCCAGTTCCCACCCCGTCAGGATTAAGCGTGCATATTCACTGCAGTGGGTGACCCTGGGCAAACCTGCCTGGCACCGTGTTCTCCTACATTAATGCTAGAGCTGCCCGAGCCCTTCCTCACTCCAGCTGAAGTTGATTACATCATGTTCCAGCCCCCCTGTAAAAGATCTGTAAGACTAAGCTAATTTCTTAAGAGCTACCACCTAGGTATTACAACTTTGCGTTTTCATTCCTCACAGTAAGGTTGTGGATTCTATCACCCCAAACATCTACAAAGCTAGGAGAGACTGAATTCGAGATTTGAAGACTGTCTACAGGAGTCCTTAGAACTGAGAGAAAAGGTCAACACAAACCTGAAAAAACTGGAGCTGTTTCTCTAAAGCCCAAAAGAATGGGTGTTTTAGCACACAGCTGGCAGACGGACGTTTCTGAGGGTCCATATTTATCATTTGCTCTATTAAATCACGAGCAACTATATCTTCTGCAAGGAAAAGGGTGATAATTCTTAGGCTGTAGGGAATCTGATGTTTTGTACTTCAGAAAATCATTATGTTCTCTACTTCTCCAACACAATCCCCAACACTAGCCCCACCAGCTCCAGCACTGCCCTCACAGATACTCCAGGCAACCAACAGAAAGTCAGTAGTGTTGAATCAGTGTGACTATGAAGATCAAAGTTCTTTCCTACCCTTTAAATACATGAATCAGCTCCACAGTCAAGCTTGCAGGGTTCCAATCTCTGTATCCCAGAGATGCTTTGTGTGCTAACTCTAAGGACTTTAGGAGCTTTACTCCAGGAGTACATTAGGAAGGAGGACAACTTTCACCACTGCCAGGTTGGGAATCACTGTGGGTCAGAGTTCTGTCATTTCTGGTGGCACTTTCACACCCATGGAAAGTTCACTAAACTGCAGTGCTTTATGTTTACCATGCTTTTCTTACCATGCCTCCCTGCATTTAAAGACTCCAGGCTGTATGCACCCAGCAGAATGTTGGCTTGCCGCTGTAGAGATTTGCCAAAGGGATGGCTGCCTTCAGATACCACATAGTAAAAGACACAGCCAGCTGAAAAGATGTCCACGGTATATGTCTGCAAATAAACAACCTTTAATAGCAAAAACACATTTTTTCCCCCCTGAAGACTTTGATCATCACAGGGTGGTTATTTTGCATTGAAGAGCACAAGAAAACTTCTCAAAATCACTAATTCAGCTGCAAGCCAGCATGAATGCCCAGGCATCAAGTACTGCATCTCTTAAAGTCTGCCTGCACCAACGTGCCACGCTGGTTGTGCTGCCTTCTCCGGGGCAGCCCAAGGGAAAGCTGAGCACTTACAGGGTTCTCTTTGCAGTCTTCACTCAGGATCTCTGGGGCAATCCACCCTTCGGTGCCCGGCACACCCGACCGACGGCTAAAGCTGTGCCTGCCCACTGCCAGCTTCTTGCACAGGCCGAAGTCTGAAATCATAGCTTTGACTTTCCCATGGGCATTAGGCATCGAGATGAGGATGTTATGGGGCTTCAGGTCCCTGT